ATTTGACAGGTAAGACGGGGTACCCCTCTGTCCCATGTCTTGCCTGGTATATGCCTGGCTATTGTTGAAGCTGATAACGTGGATCACGGTGGATGTTACAAGGACATTGCTGTGCCTGTAAGACCAGGAAGTGTGGCTTTTGAATGTCGAGTCGATCTGAAATCTGAAGTCTGTGCCATCTCTTCTTAACCCTAAAAGTCCTCAGTCCTCCAACAGGTGAAGGATTGAGGACTGTTAGGGTCAATGGAACTGTCATTGGATTTTTCTGAACCTTAACTTTTGAGTGTCCATAAAGTACAAGCCAAGATTATTAATCTATGAGTTAAACGGTAGAATTTGACCAAGCATCTCCACAAATGCCAACATCTATCGACATTTATACATAGAAACTATCAACAATGCAGTCAAAGTAGAGGAAAACAACAGTTACCATAGCAACGGAGAGCTAACAATCTACCCAAGAATTTACCTAAAGCTACATCTTTCTCTATTGGCCAGCCAGCAAAATGCGCATGAGCAACTTTCAAAGTTTTTGGGTAATTCACAGATTGGATAGATGCTTGGTGGAAAAAGAGAAAAACAATACACATTGAAAATATTTGGAAAACGGAGGGTAGGGCGCTACATGTTTGTACATAGGTTTGTAATGCACATGACCCCTCAAGAAATTAAGACAGGCCAAAAGATGAGACACTGATACAAAAACAGCAAAAGGGCATTCCGAAGTTCACCGTCATCAATTTCAGTTCCTGTGCCTGGTAAATTCCTGTTACGGAACCTCAACCAGTTTCCTGTTTTGATTGTAACTTGAACCAATTGTGGATTAAATGTCCTGGTTTTGCCAAAGTCAGAATAGACCTAAGATATAACGACGTCACACTTTGTTTCACATATGCACTTTCCTACTGGGTCTCAATGAGTCATATCCTATCCCACATCTATTGGAAAGTGCACATGCAAACAAAGCTCGACGTCATTGTGACTTCTTTACGATTTACTGAAAAAAAAAAACCAATAGGGTTGACTCACAAAACACAGAATTAACTTGTCTTCAACTGCTGAACTGCAGAACTTTGCATTTTATATACTCTTTTGACAGACTCAATCTTTGGTGTGCGCAGTGGTGGTAAAACTCATGAATTTCCAACAATTCGTTCTCTTGTAAACGTTCAAGATGGGGAAAAAAATGTTAATCCAGCTGTTGATGAAACTCAGGAAACGTTCAGTTCCTCCAACATGCAATCAATACATTTCAGAATGGCATGGCAACTAGCCAATCAGAGACAAAGAAAGTTAAGAATGCTCTCCAGATAGGCAAGCTAATGGCTGATTGGGTGAAATGTTACCAGGCACTAGCCAGTGATAATACTGGTAATTCAAACATGCAATGAAATATCACTATGAGAAACATTTGGCCCAGCAACCACACAGATGACCTTATCGTAAATCAACCTTGTTTCAGATTTTACATTTCTAATCCTTCAATGCAAAGTGCAATTCAAAATCAAAGATGAGGAGAAGGCAGGTTGAAAGAACAGAAACTGTTAAGTTTATACTGCTTCCCTTTAACCAATATGTGGAATTTTCGTCCTTGTTACAATAAATGTACACAGCAGAATTTTACAGCAAACATTACTAATATTGCAAATGCAATTATGTGTACTGTGCCCCAAATGATTAACGATGCACATTAAGTGCACTTGAAATATGGACAACTTTGGAATTTCATTTTTTTTTCAACAAGAAGTTAAAAGAAACACATACCACTGTCTGATGCTTGAATTTACCAGATAAAACTTTTGCATACGTACTTGAGTGAAATGGAACATCTTTTACCCAGTACTCCACACAGAAACAAGCTGATTGGTTGAACACTGCGGCACCAGCCAATGAGAAACATCAACACTAGCACGCTGACCAATGGGAAGGGGTGTTTATTCTCTAGCAGTAGCAACCCCCTTCTTCCTGTTGCATATCGTTCTCGGGCTCTCTGGCTGTTAGTGTGACAGGAACTTTGGGAAGCAAAGTGCGGTCAAGGAAAGCAAATAACACACTCACAAAATATTCACCGCGTATTCACAACAATCTATCTCAGAAGAAACTCAGAAAGAAACTCGGCAAGTTAATTCAAAATGTTACGAAACAAACAAAAACTGACCAAAACTATTAAACTGAGACATAGTCAAAATATATTTTCAAAGTTTTATTACGTCGCTCTTTGCTGCCACGCTGGGCTTATACTTGGGCAGCTTACTGGTATGCAACATCGCAGTTTTACTCTAATCAACCAACAGATCAATTTAAAAAGTTTTTAGTCTTCATTTTCCCCCAAAATGCAAACCTTCAATTATTCTGTAACTGATGTAATGCCCAATTAGAGAAGGAATCCATGGGATTTTCAGGATCTTTTAAAATCTCTTCTTGGGTTAAATTTATCTACTTCTGGATTGAAGGGGTACAGTCAGTAACAAGAGACTAAACTTGTTTCAAGAAAATAAAATCTTTGACAATGTCGCCAGTGATGTTTATATATATGTTTTTTGATGTTTTGGAATTTCAAATTGTTTTGTTCTTACAAATATATGTATTGCAAACAATGCAACATCTCTCTTGATACATGTATGTATAGCCAACCCTTACCAAAGCCTAGAATGGAAATATACAAATGTGAAAAGCAAGTTCTGGGAGTTACAAAGACAGCGCTGTAACAGAAACTGAACAGAATCTAACAAACCAGACTTACAAAACCAAAACTTACAAAACAAATTAAAAAAAAACAAAAAAACTCCTGGGTCTTGCTATCTCCAGCTGGGCAGGGTTGCGTCATCAGTAAGGGGAAACCATCACACTGAACTGTACACAAATCACAGAATTTTTTTTTTTGTTACAAATTTGAACCATCGCATATGTGGCGAACCGACCACTTCGGCGGTACTGTGGGTGGGCATCACAAAATGTTGGCATCTGACCTAGTCTACCACGAAAACCTTTCAGAAAAGCCCCTCCTATTTACCTCAAGACCTCATCACAAAATCTTCCAGCATTTCAAAGAGATAAACCCGCATCTAACTGCACCCACACACTACGCAGTGTTGTAGCAATGTCGTCAGCTACATGCATTATCCATAATAATTTAAGAAGTCACTCTGTATACTGTACAATTTTTAACAATGCATAGGCTGTGATGGAATATGAATGGAATCCAAGACCAATAATTCAAGTTATCCTTTCACTGCAAGAACCGGGACACACACAAAAGGTATGTAAGGTCTGGAGCAAAAACAGTGAACTAACGTTGGCAGAGAGAAACAGAGTTTGCTTCTGTTTAAAGATCACTACAAAGCCCAATTTGTGTACAGTAAACTGTAAAACCTACAAAGTTTTGACGAAGCAGTTCAAATCATATTCTCTTCTTTCAGTTGCCAACACCAATGATGGGCCCAAGATTCCTTCTACAGTTTTCCGGCAACGTGTTTTTGAGTTTGAAAGGACAAGCGAACAATTCTCCGAACATAAACTTCAGGGAATGTGCCATCATACCTACATACGCACATCAATTTATTAACAAAACTGACTTCACTGGCCAGCACTGCGACATCATCATAACAATAATATTATTACTAGCTCCAACACTGGTCTAGTTGTTACATACATGTAAGCCTTGCCGCAAGCCAGTTTAAAACCAGGACTATTCCCCATAGGACCGACTGCCTGCTCTGCTAACTTGATAACAATCTTCTTTCCAACCGCGGCAAGTCAACAGTGTCAAAAGTTTCACCCTCAGCAATATGTAAATGGCAGACATTTTCAGTTGCCATTTGCATGTAGGCATATCCGGAAAAATCTCCAAGTCCTTATATTTGTGCTCACAACTTTTCTCTAAAACAATACCAAACCTAGACAACAAAGGACTGACGAGGGTAGCGAAGGATTTCTTCCCCACAGAAACGACACAATAAATCAGTAACATTCGGCCGCATGTAACAAAACAAGTGGAACAAAATCTACAAACAATGTACGCTGAAAAACTACTGGAATGGACAGTGGCAACTACATGTACACTTGGAACTAAAAAAAAAAACAACTGAAATTACGCCATAAAAAAGCATAGCAATGTATCCACGGTGCATACAGTCAAGCAAGGCTACAGAAAAAAAAAGGAATTCATTGAGTCGACACAACTCGATAAAATCAAAAGAGTGCCAGAACGAATACCTCTTAGATTAACGACTGCCGTGACGTGTTGTCGGCAGCTCATTAGCAAACTAAATGACTTTTGATTGACAAGAACCTACATTGCCTTTGCATTCATAGAAAAACAAGGAATGCCAGATGCTGGCAAAGTTTACACGAGACAGGCACGAAAATTGAGAAGTCTCAAATGTATGCACTGGCACACGATGACCATTCAAAAGGACACCAAAGCCAACAGAACTATATATAATTGTGTACATGTATTTTCCAACTAATCCTTTTTTTCCTGCATTGTCCTGTTGGTGCTTCATGACTAGTTTTCACGTTTGGTGCATTTTTCTTCGGAATTATTCATACTCATACATATCAGCACTCAATCAGATAGAGTGTTACAAAGCAGTGTCCCAGTGGTGGTTGTTTGACAACCTATCAGAGAGTCTGTTACATGATGCCGACTTTTTTGTTTGTTGTAAGCCAATGAGAGCTCAGCTTTGTCACAAGGTGGCCAATGGGAATAGCTGTTAGATGGATTCATCAGCATGCACATCCACCTTCTTGCTGTTGGGGGTCCTGTGGTGTGTTCTTTTCTAGTTTGACTTCAATCACTGGAGAAAAGAAATCACAGTCAAGGAAAAAACATGCTCCATGGCAACTCATACTAAACAAAAAAGGCTCAAAAAATCAAAGTTACATTCACAATTAACAACAAAATGAAAGCACAGGTGGTCTTTCGAGGGTTGTCACTGGAAAAGGATGAAACTGAAGTAAAATGAGTTGAAATGAATAGATTAAATAGAAATGACAGAATTGGGAAATTCACAATACAGCAAAATTAATTGCCAACAGAGGCAAGAAGCTTGTTTTCTCTGCACTCCCTAACAGGAAACACAAATATTGCACTGTAGACATAACCAAAGGGTATTCATTTTATTTCAGGTGGTGAGGATTCAAAAGTGTTATTTTAAAGACTACTTTTAATTTAATATGTTTTTTTGGAAAGCTTTCAAATGCCTTTTCTGGGTAACGTACCACATGGAGAAAAATGATAAACGTAACTTTGGAACAGATGATGCAACCACAGAATATTGTATGCAAAAAGTCTACTGCAAAGTTCGAAAGTGGCCCCTCTTGAGCATAAGCCGTATGGCAAATCTCTCAAATAATGAAACACTTCGGGAAGACAAAGCACAGAAATGTAGATGTGACAAAGACATACCAAAAATCTTAGCAGAAAGTTGCAAATTAGTAGTATTTTAGTTCAATTATGTTGGAATATTACTGAAGAATTCATAGTCTGCAAATCACAGTTTAGTAGGCTATTCTTGGACGACAATAATACATGCAAGACAAAAAGACAAAATTAAAATTGCATTTGCCGCAAATTTCAGTGTTGTAGTCAAGACCATCACAAGACCAGACACAAGACCAGACACCAGACCAGTCACAAGACCAGACACAAGACCAGTCACAAGACCAGACACAAGACCAGTCACAAGTAACAGGGTGAACAATGACAAAGGAATACTTTTCTCACAGTTCATTTGAATAGCTTGTGGCTTGAATTCAGACTGGAGGTCTTGTGTTGGTCTTGTGAAGGTCTTAAGTGGTCTCGACTACAACACTGGCCACAACGTAGGGAGGGGGGAATCAAATCCAAAAACACACATTTACAGCACGAAACAAATAATTTTCCTTCAAAAGAGCCACAGACACTTCTTATAATGATGAAGTCACTGCAGCCCTTCAAAGTCAGCCATTACTGAACGGTAGTCACATTCCCTGCGCCACTTTGATAAAAAAATCTGTTAGACTTATGAACATGAGAATGTGGAAGAGGGCAAGAAGTGTTAGCCGCATGAGATGTAAAATAGGGACCGACATTGGCTAATGCCTCGGCAGCCAGAGCAAGAGCAGTACTGTGCAACGAGCGCACTATGTGGAGTCCTTCCCACACAATTTGGAAGCAGCAAGTCACAGCAACAAACAGCCGCAGATAAGAGCAAGCATCGTGACTTGCTTACCCCCGACCACAACAACACGCGCTGTCCTTCAGCGTCTGCCAAGAAGAAATTCACACCCACTACAGAAAGTGGAACCAGACTTCCCTCACTAAAATGCAGCAAAATTGACAGTTTGGGGCACTTGACGGTATACGCATGTACGCCAGGTTTGTACGAGAAAACTGTGTTGAGGGAGCTGAAGGCATGCAAAGTTTTCAGGAAACTCATGCAGGGCATGCAACAAGGCAACATTCACTTTGGGCATTTTGAACTTATCAATCACCAACGGCCATACTTACCTCAGGAGAGGAATACTCACAAACAACATTTTATACATCCAAATCTGAATACCAAAGTGCATTGATACTTCCCAGGACAACTCAAGTGGACAAATGAAATCAGAAAGCGAAACTTGGTAAAACCGAAACTTTGTTCTACAAGTCCTCACAACTCAGTAGAGTACAAAAATCCTGACGCATCCCAAGGCAATTTGACCATTAATTGCTTGACTAGCTGTGACAATAAAAAAGACCAAAGTTACCGAAGGCAAAATCAGATCAACCAACCGACCAATGTTACTACTGTCGATACGGGCGATTCAAAATAGTGCACCTCCAAGCCGATCACAACGCGCGAAATATGTCAACCCTTTCCAAATGAGCATTCGGTCAACGGATTGGCGCACTGCAATAGGCCAACATATCGCAAACTCTTAGAGGCGCACTATTGCTGCTGTCATCTTTGCATCACCTAAACAAAACTGATAGCTATCCCTCAAACTACAAAAGAAAAACGCTAAGCTACTTTCAATACAGATCTGTTTACCATGCAGCCAGCAGAATTTAAGTAATCTTCATTTGTTCATAGTGAAGGCCAAATGTAACACAGCACCCTACAAGCCTTGGGCCAAAAACATTTGGCTGTACTTTCGTGTACAGCTTACAATATCTGCTCACACCTAAGCAAAGCTGCTTAGCAGAAAACTACGGCTAGTGAAATGCCAAGATGCTGGGCACATGTCTAATACATGAGCAGGTTAATAACCTGCTACCAAACTCACTGGTTGACATAAAAATTTTATCCAGCAACTCTCGGCAATCCACACAGATGATTGATGTCCGTTAACAAAAGTCTTGTTCGTCCAATCCTATAAGATTAGACTAAATGCCGTACATCTTCCTGTAGTCTGTCTCACTAAGACCAAAAACACCCAAACAAATAAATAAGCCCTCTTGGCATTTGGGCTTGAAGAAAAGTTAGGAAGAACCTCGAGTTAGGCAATAACTGAAGTGAATTTAATGTGGCAGAGAAAACGGAGATAAAAAGAAAGAAAACAGAAACCAATGGTTTGTTCCGTTATTAGAAATCCCACGCAACCCAAATGGCATCCCGGAAAATGTTAAGGAAAGAGAGAAACGATGGAATTTGAATGGGCATCTGAGGGAAAAGGATACTGTCGCCGGTGTTTTTGGGTTCTGTGGTCTCCATTCCGGGTAGGGCTGCTGCTACTCGACGGAAAAGCTGGCAAGGTAATGAAAAAAGAAAAACGACATCGATTCAAGTGAATAAAACCATGTCCAAAGAAGACGATAAACAATTGAAGACAGGACAAGGAACACTGGGGTGGGATGTCTGGATGCAATTCTATCGACTGGTGGGCCAAGAATGCTCCTTGGCAAATTCACTCGCTGAGCGGTACTTCAACTCTGGACCAGTCAAGAGCAATGGGCCTCTAGCTGGACCAAGAGAGGGGACTATATTCTTAGCTAGGGAGGCTCCTTCGGTTGGAACTGAATTTCACTGGTTCACAAAACAAATTGAAGTTTCCATACTAAGCACACAGTCATTATATCTTGTGATTCAGGGCAAACTTTTGCTTAGTTACATAAGAGACACCTTGCACCAATACACTGTTTCCAATGGAAATTAGAAGGGGAAAAGGAACCAGTCCATTCTAGAGAAGGTGGTTGCTATGCAAAACCTTGCCCCGAATCATGAGGTATAGCAGCAGTGTCTTTAGTCTGGGGAATTCAAGTTGTTATGCTTATGTGCAATTAGATAACTCAGTGTATCAGATGTTACACAACTTTAACTTGCAAAAGGGGCTTATTATTGTCGGGCAGATTTGGATTTATACTCTTATATTTATAATTTCAAAGACCCGGGTCAACATCTCTCTAAGGGACACAGTGCTACTTGTTTGCTTATTTAGCTTAGGCAACTCTGCCCAAAGCACTTGAAACTACCGTCTCTGACAACACAGATTGACCACAGTTGAATGAAAAATACACACGCCTAGACAAGTATGGCATTTTGCTCTTACAAGGAAGGTCAGCTTTGGTTGTACCTAATAATCCAAGTTGATCAATTAATGAAAAAAAAACTCCTTTTTCACAACAATATTTCTCCCAATGGAAGTAACCCTGATGCCATTCGAATCCAATCTCGGGAAGACAGTTCCTTCATTCAAATTCGCATTTTGAAAAACCACTGCCCGAGGTAACCCCTTAAAAAAAAATTCTCTGCAACTGTCCGCGGGGAGAAGCCTTCAGAAATTACTCCCACATGTGCTGTTGGAAGGCATATTCACCTGTTTGACGTTGTATCCTGCCTTGGCGCTGGTTTCAATAAACAATACATTCAGCTCGTTGGCTTTCCTTTCCCCTTCATCTCTCGACACTTGCCTGTCGAACAGAAGAACGATGAAAACCAATCAAATCAGGCACGACTTCAAGTACATGTACATCAGAAGAAAAAAAAAAAAACGGGCTGTAGCCTCCGTCTTTAAATGCATCCAGCAATGAGTCTTTTTCTTTGACTAAAAGAAGACTGAGGTTTTCTGAGAATCTGCAGCAATTTCCCCAAAGTGTCCCGAATTAATGAGCTACGTGTATTTCTGTAAAACATCTGGAAACATCCCCAAATCAAATTCTTAACAACGAAAAGACTTCCCCTTCAGTTTCGTTTAACCGGACACTACACCGGTGTTCCGGTGTTGAACGCAAAAGCTGTTACTCATACAGTCCAACCTCATCTCTAAGGTGTTCAGACTTCAGACTTTGCAGATTACCTTGTTAATAAAATAGCCTTGAATTATCAGGACTGAAAACAATACAGGAAGAACATTGTACTCTTATTAACAAGGTCTGGTTGTAACAGAGAAATGTACAGCAAACTTATCATTTTTAAAACAGAACACTTGAAAGAAACAAAATACATCTCGTCTGTTATCTAGCCCTGTGAGGCTAATTTTTTTTAAAAATTCCTTTCTCAAAGCCAAGTTGACACATACCTCTTGTCACCCAGATCTGTTTTATTTCCGACGAGCATGATGATCACGTCGCTCCCTCTCTCCGTCCGAACATCGTCGATCCACTTGGACGTCTGGTGAAATGAATTAGCATCTAGCGACGAGGCGAGAACGAGTGAGAGAGAGAGAGAAGGGAAAGACAGCGAGTCTTCAGCCAATTGGATACGCAGATCAATCAACGGCGGAAACACATGCCAGAATTTGTTGCTGCAGGAAGCCTAGGGCAGAGGGGTTCGGCATTCACTTAATGCCCTGTCTAACCCGGCAATTTTCCTCTTTAGCAGAAAATTAATAGAACTGATCTAACTGTACAGTAGAAATGGAAACAAATCTTTTCAAAAAGGACCTTGTATAAAATAAAGTGCTCAAAAATTGAAAGAAGATCTTCTCATTTTTTTAACGTCAAAAATATTTTGTAAATGTACAAATTCAAACCAACTTTATTTGACACAGTTCGGATAGTAGCAAGAAAAATGAAATATTGGAAACCCTGATTTCCTATAAAAATAGAAGTTTTGTTTTCAGAAATTGAAAATCAACAAGTTGAAATTTTTAAACTATACTTCCACCATATCCCAACTGATGTTAACAAACATAAATGCGACTGGCATGACCATACGTGTATGCCATTATGCATGCACCGATTTGATGCAAATAAACAATTTCTCATTGGAATGATACAGGTACGCAAAGCAGTGGTGTCGGGCCTTGAATACGCCTTTCTCAATTTCGCCAGCCGCAGCATCATATTCCACGTCCCTGAGTCAGACAGCAAAGTGCCGGGACCACCTTCGCCGAGACGAGTGACGTACTCACTGTAAATGTGCCGTATAATGCAGTTACAGCAAACGTGAACGTGGAAATGGATCTGTGCCCGAGGTCAAGAAATTTATACATAGATGCCTCGGAAAGTCAAACTCATAAATGTATACTAGAGATAAATGCCGTACAATTAACATGAGCAGTGGTGACCTTGGCCACTGCTGCCTGTAGGTCTCCTTCATGTACATATGTATAAGCTGCCATATGTATAAGCTGCCATATGTATGCAAGTAGGTGAACTTACTGTGGGGAACAAGTACATGTACTGTATTTGAATGCAAAAACAGCAGTCAATGGTTTTCGTATAGGTGAAGGGGCCACCATCTGGTTCCCCCATCTGCTCCTGCTTCAAAGAGATGGCAAATTAACCCGGGGTGGTGTTCATTATGCAACAGGCTGTCGTGAGCAGACACCAAAATGTACAGTAATACGTGGAAGCCATTCACAGCGAGGTCTGTCTCACGTGTACATGTACATCTTTCTCCAGATACTAAAATATGAAGACGTGAAACCTAATATAGAGGAGAGAATTTTTTTTACTGAATTTTCGAAACTAGAAATTTTCCTTGAGTACAGATGGACAGCAGGATGGACAAATAGACAGTTCTGGGCATGTCTAGGAGATGAAGTCGTGTGCAACGGCACGCGCGTCTCAGACTCCTGGCCGACCCTTTGGTCTGCTCACTGGAAATGTCACGGGTTACTGCTGGTTGATGGCCAATTTCTCAAACTAAGAAATGCACCGCATTTAACTGTCTGCAGGGAGGAGACAAATGGGTATTTCTACAGTTCTCTCCACTCTCTACCCCGCATCAAATGGCAGTTGGATATCAATTGTTGGCCAGGCCTGCCGAGTTTCTTAGAAGCAAAACTGTTTACCCAGCTGGAATGTCTGACCTTGAGTTTAATGTATAACAGAATTTATTATATGTGGCATGCTTATTTCTGACATTTGAACCTCAAAGAGAGGTCTATTTATCAGTGAGGTAAGTTTCTTAATATTAGTATGGCTGATATCAAACTTGCTTGGGACTATATACAGCTTTTTTTCCTCACATACACGTGTTGCAATCTTCACAAAGTCCACTTTTATATCAAGACATCAGAATAGTCTTTTAAAATAAATTTCTAAATCCTAGTAAAGTTATATTTCTTGTATAAATTCACAAGGGAACCCCAAACTTTCCAAGCTTTTTAGGCAATTACTCTGTGCTACTCACCAAGATTTCTCAAGTGATTTTAGGGTCTCGTGTGCTTTTCCTTAAAAAGTTGGTCACTTCCTAAGAATTTCTTTGTAATCTCCAGCCTCCTCCCCATGACTTTGTCACCTTGCCTTCCAAGTTGATAAGGCAATCCTCTTTCAATTCCTCTAGACTACTTACTTGTTATATCATAGACTACCACTGCTACCGTTGAGTCTCTAATATAGCTGGGTATGAGACTGCGGAATCGCTCCTGGCCCGCCGTGTCCCACAGCTGCAGTCGGACCGTCCGGTCCTCAAGGTACATGGTCTTGGACAAGAAATCTATGCCGATCGTTGCCTGTGAGGAGACAAGGGTAAAATTCATATGTGAAATCCTCAAATCATCCTCGATGTCCTGATAAAGGGTTTACCATCTCCCTTGAGCCTAGACATTAATTTGAGTCTGTGGGGAAAGTCTCGACAAACAATAGTCCAAGTGATGTCAACTTTAACCTTAACCCCTAGGCTCTTGCACTAGGGAGCATACTAAACCCAACAAACTTCAACAGGTGCATGTGCTTGTCTATGTACTTGTACATGCAGGTCACTGTACCAAACCTGATAAACTCCAATAGAATGAGCCCATTGGAGTTTGAGTGATATGGTATGGATGGGTCTATGCAGTATAGGATGACGTGCACTGAACAGTACTAAACCTGACAAAATCAAACACAGACTAACACTTGGTACAGCAAGCTAGGCACTGCACAAAATGACCCCTGTGTGTCCCAGCTCACACAAAATCCAACACCATCACCCTGGGCTTTTGAAACCATGTCAAACAAAACTCAACAAGTTCATCTGGCATGGTACAAAACCTGCCAAAACATAGAAAAACCTGCTGTTGGGAGTTTGATGGACACAGGGCAGTTAACTGATCAGTCCGATCACATCAGCCTCCCTGGCCAGAATCGAACCAGGTTCATCTTAGTGGAAAGAGAGGAAACCTTAAAACAGTGCCACCAGACAGGGTAAACAATGGACCTATGCCACAATGCCTTTGTGCATCTCCAAACGTCCAATGACAAATTTGATAGAAAGAAACGTGGACTTTATAAAAATTGGCGACATCATCGATTTTTTTCCCATCTGAAAAAAAAAAGGCTCCGACAGCACTGCCATGCATCATCACCGAGTCACAGGACGGCGACACGACTGCAAATGCTAAATCTGGGTCATATGACCAACTCTACACGCAATGATCTGTCAAGATTGTCCTCATACGGGACAAGTGACTTGGAATCCCCTATGATGGGACTGTTCACCATTTATCATGGGAATTGGCCTTTGCATGACCTTCCGACTAGCATGGAATGGCTTTTCTCAAAGGTCTACCACTAAAATTTAATTAAGTGACCCCCAGTAATCTTTCGAGAGGGAACTTCAAGAATGCACAATTCCAGGAATGTCTAGCTTCAACTGTTTAAAAACCCACCTGGTATGTGTTGTCGAAGCTATCGTACATAAATCTTGTGATAAGTGACGTCTTGCCCACTGAAAGAGAGACAAATGAAGATGAGAATGTGTGACGTTGAGCATCAAAGGAGTACTCCAACCATCCATGGCATAGAGATTGGCACTGGATATAGGGCCTCTTTAAGTGGACATGCATGACATGGAAAAAGCAAAAATAAATTTCATTTTTTCCATGTCCATTTTATTTTTTCAGTTTTCTTTAATACCGAGTGTCTCTTCAGACATTTTGCCAGAAACTTCCAGAGTCCGTTACTATGCATGAACCAGGATATACTTGACTCTCAAGTTATCTCTGCCAGGGCAACAAGCCCCATGTACGGTAACAGTGGCTGGGCTCCACCTTCCTCAATCCTGGAAAAAATCCTCCAAAACCTGCTGGTGCATTGTGGGGGAATCCAGATTTTAGAGTATGAATTTAATAACACTAGCACCTGTCTTAAATACATGCACTGCAGGTAAACGGTGATTTCCAACTCTTTCTTTTCTGCACTTGAACATTTTTGGAAAAATCCATTCATTTAAAGGCAATCTCAGGAACAACTGCTCAGTTCCACTGGTGTATGCGCAATTACAATCATCACCAGACAGTGGCCACTTCTACATACAATGACATAAATGGCCCTGTGGTTTGTGACGTACACTTGTCATTCTAATTCAAATATTGCCCACTCACTGGCCATGTCCTGACCTGCATCTAGCTAAAGGTCAGAACTTGCCAGACATACCCGTCTACCTGTTGGAGAAAATCAATAAAGATAACAGCACATAACACTAAGGAAAGCGTGTGTCTGATACGGACACTCTGTCCAAAACAACACATGTACAGATGTACTGCTTGCATTGTACAGGGGTAAATTTTACCTTCAAATAGAACTTGTAATCTGTATAAATTACACAGGCCTATATGTGAGAATGTGCTGGATTATTTTGGGTATGCAGACCAAAGACATTACATTTGAGTATCAGCTACCTCTTAACCCTCCTATGCTCAAGTCACTCTTTGGGTCACTTGGTAATCACCTCAAAGAGGCACAGCTGTGTCCTCTTGTGCACTGCACCAACAGTCCCTCACAGGAATATCAGATTGCACTTTTGTACTGTCCAACAACTGTGCCTCACTGTTTCATGTGCATAATTGTGCAGTTAACCAAATGCAGTGAAGAGGACTGCACAAAAGACCCTGGGTCATTTTGTGCTGGCAACCAACTGTGTACACACAGAACCTGTGCATGTTTGTTTTCCATGTAGAAAATACATGCACAAGAGTGCTGTAAAACCAAAGGAAGGTCAAAGGAAAAAAAAAGGAAAACAAGAACTTTGAAAGTGTGTGCTCACAAATTAGCCAAGTTTAAAAAAAAAATACTACTGCCTCTATGGCTCTGCAAAAAGAATCTAAGAAGCACTGTGAATATGTGTACGCGTAAGGAGACAACCTGTGCTGCCTTGGGTTCTGCCTCAAGCGCGTGGTCTCCTCCTGACACAGATGAAGTTCCTTTCCTCAAGCAAAAATTGCCCTTCCCTGACATCTCAGCCCTGAACAATTCCTAACTGGGGGAAAGGGGAACGGCATATGTACAGTGTACATCTACGTGTACACATGTACATGCAGGCCAAGTGTCTGAATCATTCAGGGTGACCCATCATGGAGAAACGGAACAGCACGCGTCATGACAATGAAATGCAAAGGTTCTCGGGGGTCCTTCTGCTTGGTCAAATGAAGACGGATGGAGATTGGTCGTGCAGACACGCTACTCCACCACCTCCGCAGATAAATAGGCAGACACTGACCGACGGCAGACAGTGACCCCCCAGAACACGTCAACGAAGGTCTCGGGCAAAAACAACACTCTACAGTACCATTACCACTCGGTGAAATTTACTCCAGTCCACTGTACATATAAATGAGAATTTGGTTTTATGTAAGCACTGGCTACCGCTAGAGACAAATTTTCAGAGGGGAATAATCAGCAAGATTCACTGTAAATACTTCCACAAACACCTGTTGAAATCAAATGAAACAAGGTGTCAAACAAAATTTCTACCCTGAAGGGGGTTGTCCAAAAGACAACTCCCATCCCTTCCACATTTCCCAACTGAACCTATCAGAAATATGTACAGCAGTATTGCATATATATCTCTACTCAAATTCCATAAATGTAGACTGAATTCTTACTATTCTAACACACTGGTGTAATGTTCATGTTTTCATGTACATTACACAGGGCTGTAGTCTGCACTCTGCAGTGCAATATTATCTCTCAGCCCTATCAATTTCCACTCGTGAGAATAAACGAAACACGTTTAGCCCCAAAATTATCAATTCGCAATTCCTGGACAAAAATAATACTACCCGAGTTTCAAGCCAGGGCACAATCACAGACATCGAATCGATTTGTCACTCACTGCCGCATAACCGCGAGTAAACTTGACTCACCGCCCAACCTCCCGAATCCGGGCTCTGCTCTTGGACTCATGAATATGAATGGCAATGTTTCCATTGGCTAGCCCCGATAATGCTGCACCTACACGACCGTTCCCTTCTCTCCCTCCCCCCCCACCGTCTGCGGCCCGTCTGAAGAGCACGCATAATTGGGAGCAGTGATGTACATGTATTCGGGGGGTAGGCAAGTGCATTCATGTTGCGGCTGTACATTGCCTTATGCCTGTGTCCATGCAAACCATGCAAGTCCCTTGCAAGTTCATGTTCTGGATTTAGTACGACTGGCATAAATTATTTATTCAGTCGGCATAGAAATACTTTCAAATTCAAAGCCAATTAAAACCTTGGGTTTAACCGAGAAAAAATATAGCATTACAGGTCTACACGTACATGAACATTGTATATGTTGCAATACATCTCTGCATATTCCAACAAGTTCACGGTTATGATTTGGGTCAATGAACTACATACTTGTGAACATTGTCATGCATGGCATATTTTTGTTTTCCAAGCTGAAGGTATGTTACCACCCATTGAACATATGTAAATAACGTAAAAACGCTAAGCAAGGAAAAGCAACATACATGTACACTGCATACATGTACATCAATTGTTGGAACTTGCTCTGTCAAGTGTCTGCAATTCATATAGGTACACATCTGAATTTGTAAGGAATGTTAGAGATTTTTTAAATATGAAACCCGGGATTTGGGTCACAGTGCATGCTGAAAAATTGTACCGAAAAGCACTCAAATAATACCAATGCATGTGAATATAAAAGATTAAAGTGCTGATAAGTAACGCACACGCCTACAAGAACAAGCATACAAAATTTCAGACAGGCCAGCAAAGTGGCATGAAGCATCTCCATGTTTACTACACGTAAAAGAGGTTCATTATTAAACCAAATGTTGAAACCAACTGACGTGATCACAACCCATACTCAGTATTCCGTAAGAGCTAAGAATTCAATGACCTGTACCTGCCTAGGGTCCAAGTGAGTTTGAGGAGCTTTATGAAAGACTGCCTATGCCGGTGTCCAGCAAATCTTATTATCCCAAGGGGCACAGGGCAGGATCAATGAATTTTCCCATTTTTACCATGCCGCTATTTAGGCAACAGGTACATGTGCATTGGACCGCCAGATTTAATTGTTTGGATTCTTGTCTGAATGAACTATGACCCGATAAACGAGTGCATGCAGTGGTACATGTACACTGCACACTGTTCACCTTTCACCTTCTACATGTTCATGTACGTGTTTGTATACATGTACATTGTACATGGACCTTGTACATGGACATAAAAGTCTGGTAACATGGCGAAAGCAACGAGTCAACAAAATGTGCCATACACAGGGTAATTTCCTGTATTGGTCAGTACAGTCTGACATGTACATGTGTATGTATACATGTGACATTATGCACCGCACATGCTACATCATGTACATGTCCATTCAATTCTGGTTTCCACACTGCATCTGAAGCTGAGCCCCGTTCAAGTCCTCACATTTTATTACAACCAGATATGTGGAAATGTTAAACAACGTAAAAGTAAAATTATCTTCAGCCAAGAAATCTGACCAAGAATGTACAGTGTATGGATACGTGTGAAATTCCACATAGTCAAAGTACACGTACACGGAGGGAAATACAGTTTCTTTCCAAATTACATGTACATCACCTAGACCATGAACGCCACATCCCCCCAAAACTGTAGACTCATGACTGTATATGTAAAGAGAAGTCAAAATCGCCATCTTTCCTTTCTCTTAACCTGTCATTCATTTTTTTTTTTAATTCAAAAGAGCAATGATTCCGACATGAGCGGTGATCCTGAAATACTGAAGTATCACCAATTCATGAAATGAGCATAGTGGCTCAAGGATATGGGGAAAAAATCAATGATCTCGTGTCAGGTTTATACAGCGGGCATTTTCTGGCTCGCTGGTGCTGGCGACAAGTCCGCAGTTGATGCAGTGTTGAGTATCCAAAGAGTCTCTTTGGTATTTCCAATAAGCAAGAGTCATTCGGGGACCAACGCACACGCACAAGTCCGCGTAGGGCTGCACTGATTGGGAAGACCTTTCTAGCGTCAGAATACTCTTGGACATACTTCAGTTTGGGCATGTGCAGTTGGAATACCGGAACGTCCCCATACTCTGATCAACAACCAACCAACCATGACAGTTCCAGTTACCAATTGCCACTGTCGCCAAATGGTAAGTATTTACAGTATAAGATGAGGCAAAAAAAAAAGAGAAAATGGCAAGGAAATAAAAAAATTGTATTTAGTTTTGCAAACAAAGTTAAGGGGCTGCCAAAATGCGTACTGAGCTTAAACTTTGGTTATCCTTTACAATTTGCCAACTAGAAGCCTGCATGACCACTCATTTCCAACCAAGAAGTCTAGCATGTATGCATCATACATACACATCCTATTGCTCTTTGGAAGATGGCAGCCAATAGACCTGTTTCATGCGGCAGCCATCTTGCATTTCTGCCATTCAAAGCAATCAAACCATACTGAGGCTGGAAGGAAAAATAGTCTGTTCCCTATTCTCAATATGTAAAGTTGTATTACATCTGATAATGGGTGTACAGGGAACATGACAAATATAAGTACAAAGATTATATTGTAAATGCTGTAGGGTAACTGCAAAGTGAAGGATTTTGGATGCCACATGATGGTTCCTTGCAATAATTGGATTGGTGACAGCAGCTTGATGACATTTGATAAGAGGGGCGGATATATACATGTAGGGTAAATCACACCAAAAAAATGGAATTTGTAACCCCTCCCCCAGCAAATGATCACAAACGCATATAAAAATGTTGGCTCAGGAGCAATTGAAAGGTGAATAATCCCATTCAAGTAGTTTTGGAGTGAAAAACAACAAATTCACATCATTTGCAGTCCTAAGACTTTCACGGAGCTACTGACCCTGCTAACCAGCTACAGGTTCTGGACCACTGAGCTGATGACAGCACCTGTCTTAACTGTAGCAGGCAAAAATGGCCTGTCTAGAATTGTCCAGTCATACTAATCCCTGCCAACATACCACCACCATGTACAAGTACCACCAACACAACATCAACACCTCAAAAATACAGTCTGCATCGACAAACAAGGTATAAAACTGTAATTTCTCAGCTTTAGGGGAATTTCAGTTGGTTTGAGGTTACATTTTATTTTAAAAAATAGAGTTTTTACATGAAAAAACTATCTTAGAGAAGCATAGCCTTTGGCTGCCTTCTCAGAGAGCTTGGACCATATCACTCAGGTATGCGTGTGCAATTAATGCAATTATCATGCCATAGACAACACAACAGAGGAGGGTACCTTAAACATTTTGAAACAGGGATGGGCGAAAACCCCCAAAAAACTTTTGGGAAAAAAAACAGGAAAATTCTTTACCCCTTTGTGAGTGCCATATGGCGATGCATCACTCAGGCCCATGTGATGTCATGCCGACTACAAGAATGACCGTAGACCGGATAAAATCGTGTTCAGCGCAATCTTGACTCTTGCACAAATGTCTTCCCTCCTGAGTCAATTATCCTAAAAATTTATGCATTTTATTTACAGGCAAATCAACTCTGGATGAAGTACAATACATGTACATTGTGTATCTTTGCACAAGATTCAAGATTGCACTGAATAGGCCTACTCTCGCATCTGCTAAAGCCAGGAGAATAGAAGTTGCAGATTTGCGTCCTCACAATTTCAAAAACATGTGAAGCATTTTTTTCATTTTTCCTGATTTTATTTCAACCTCCAAGTACAGACACTTTTCAAGTACAAAATGCTGCCAAACTACAACCAAAAGCCTTGCTGAGGGATGAGCGACATGTACACGTAAGCAGCCCTTCATGAGTTCATGGGTCAGGTCAAACAGGGATCATCACAACAAAAAGACCCGCACTGAAACGTATGTATAATAAACGTGCAAGCCGATCCGACCCACATGGGTCGGCCATAGTTCAAGCAGACATCTGGACATACGAAAGCCATCAAAACTGAGCTAAGTATGGATGAAATGCATAAATATGGTGCTTTGTACAGCTGCTAAAAGATTTGAAACTCTGATGTTTGTGATTTTTGTGTCTCTTTCTTACAAATAATGAAATTTTTGTAAATAATGGTTTTTGGGGGGTGGTGGCAGGACATGCGGGCAGTGGATGCAAATCTAAAACTTCTATTCTCGTGGCCATGGCCTAACCATGGAGGAATAAATACCAACACTGTAACAACTAACGTCCATGACTTTATACAGTCGCCTAGCGCCTGGTCAGCTGGTCCCTGATGTTACTTCACCACTTAAGCCGTATTAGGGACCTGGCAACTATATGGTCATGGATGTTAGCCCTAGCTGTCTGGCTGTGGTTTTGTATTAAAATGCAGAAATGACATGAATGAGCATAATGAGACAGCCATGACATGGCTTGGGTCTAATGACACTACACTGACATTAGTCTGAGTTACTTGGACCCCACAAATTGCCTTTTGCAAACATTTGGACATCGTTTGGGGATAGTAGGGTCCAAGTACCTTCCACTGGTCTTTGCCTTCATTAACTAAAAATAGCTCATATCCCATATCAAAATCATCTGAATTAACCTCCGAAACAATCCTTAAACTGTCAAATGTGCCCAGCTAAGGACCGAGTGAGAATCACAAATTCAAATAATGATGGTAAACTTTGCTCATATTTGGGGAGAAAAGAGAAATTTCCCCTTTCCCCGGGCCGGGCCTTGGACTAGGCCTATCTAGTCTACGCATTGACAGAGGCTTACATGTCAGTACATGTACATGACCACACAGCCATACAGCAGGAGTTGCCTGTCGTGCAGGCCCTAACTAAATTTAAAATTCGCCTACACATACAATGTACACGTCTATCCACCAATCAGAAAATCAAGCAGGTCACTTGTCTCACTCCTAATGGAAGAAATCACTCAAATCAAAATTGGCAAATAAAAATTGATTCAAGAAAATGCAATCATGAATCAGTGAGCGTTTGCAAAAAAATTCCATTCCATCCAACTCACCACTCTGTTCTCCGAGAAAAACTAGCTTGAATTTCCTCAAAGGGTTCCCAAAGTCTCCCGAAGAAGACATGATGTGTTTCTATCACAACCTTAAACGTCGGAAAGCTAAAAAATATACAATTTCGATGCAGTATTTCTTTCGAAAATCGTTATTATTCGGCAGATTCTTGGCCCAGCCCTCCGCCACGTTAAAACGTCAATCCATGAACTGCGCATGCGTTGTATAAATTCATGTCACGGAATGGTTTGATTGGTTGTACTTTCTTACCTCCAGTGGGGATGACTCACTAACTTCACAGGTGAATCATTGATAAATCGGCCAACAAAATTAATGTATGTTTATCTAGCCAGCAAAATAAATACTTCTAATATCGATAAAAGTTGGTCAAGTAAAACAGAAAGATGGTTTGTCATTATTTTATTATTTCATACCCAATTTTTCAAGCCGCAGAAATTTTTCACTTAAAAAATGCAACTTTTTTTCTCCTAAATGTAATTAATATATTCCAATGCGAAACAGATATTTTATTCGGATGGCCACAAAAACTTTTTGGCGTGGCATTGGATATGTGGAACTTGTTTTGAGTCATACCAATGTGTTTGCATTATTAAGTCACCACTTCACCCAATAATATGCAAAGGCGATTAACAAATTTTATCAGCTATTGGGCAATGGAAGCAAACACACATAAATGATATTTTATTGATTATTTCAAAAGCCTGTCTTTCTTCTCATCTCACATTTGATGTTTCTTTACACAAACTCACTCCCATCTTGAAAAAAGTCCTAATTTCCACATGGGTAAAGCCAGGGTGTGTGCGTTTATGGTGGTGGATGTTGAATGGCCCCCTTCAACCTATTTACAATATTTTTCTGTATTCTACAGTCAGTAACACAGCATAAGATGAGGTCCAATCCCCCCCCCCTGAGCATCTCTTGCACCTTCAATTTCTGATTGAGGACAATCTAGTGTGCCCCATTCATAAGAGTTGTTGTCTCATGCTTCGAGTCGCTTTTTATGACTTAGTGTGACTAGAGTTGAACTTGCAAAGAACGAATTGCTGCTCATGTGCTTGCTTGAAACAGTGTTCTAGTAAACATGAAAATTGAATAACAAAGTGTAAGTATACTCAAGGGCATCAAATTCAATGGTCTGAAACATGCAACTTTCAAATTGATGCCTGGTACCCTGTCTGCTGGACATACACATATATGACTTGAAGCGTACTTGGACTATGATGCCAGTTATTTGCCTTGTGACTTGCACTGGACTTGCAGAAAATACTTGCCATGTCTTCCGTTCATGGTGCAACTAGCAGGTATCCATCCCCTCCACTTCGGAAATTTTGAAGTGTACACAAGCTACATACAAGCCTCAATTAATTTTTCAATGCCCCCTTTGAAAAACGTACGCACCTTCAGGGTGCCTCCTTCGAAATTTCAAGCTACTGTGAAAAGTTCTGTAACCCACCAAAAAGATTCCGTACCATTTCACAAGAGTTCAGCTGAGACTCGTACTGACCTCCAGTATTAATTACAAAAGACAGATTGAAGAATTACAAACCATGTCAACTTCAGACTTCAAAACTTTATTCCCTTGACCTTTCAGTGCTTACTATTAAGTACACAAAGGCAACGATCACTTCAGCACTTGTCACAAAATACCTTAAAAATCATCCCCACGAGATAATTCAAAAATAAAAGCTCTCATTTCCCCTACATTCCAGGTGGAAATTGGGAAGATTCATCCCAATGGGTGGTGCTTTTGGCAGTTTCAATACATTAGAATCTGAGTTTCAAAAAATATGTACTGATGACATCCAAATTAGACATTCAAATGAGAAGTAACAAATTTCCATTACCACAGTTGGATTTATTTTTTAAAAGCACCTCGTATTTTAAAAAGGCTCATGCACACGATGACTGAATGACAAAAATCAAATACTTCTGAAATTCTTTCCATTTAATCCACAAGGTTTGCCAAATTCACAAAACTTGATCACTTAAATGTTTAATTGATAAAAACAATTTAAAAATAAGCATGGCATTAAAATCTGGTTCCTTCAAGAAATATAGCACATGTACGACTTTCAGAATTTTCACAATACACAAATAAATTATCTCATTGCGCAAAACAGAATTTCCCCCACAAAAGGCGAGGAAGCAAAAATACAAGTACTATTTCAGCAAGGTAACTCCCACTTTCAAGTAGTCCAATAATTAGCACTATCACAGATTTAAAACAAATATTGTTCAGACATCAACTACACACACTCAGTTTCTAAAACTTCCAATTTACCAAATGTTGTGCCAAAACCTACAGTCTGTGAGAAACATTCCTAAGTGTTTCAAGCAAATGACGTTTGCAGGGGCATAATTAAATTAAGCCAAAGTGCCATTAAATTTCATGTTAAAAGCTTAAAGTGTCACTGCTATATCTGACATCTGGTAGTGTCGCATTTCAAGATGCCAATGCACGGAGTATTTTAAGGCATGATTCTTACTCTATACAGGGAAAACGGATTGGTGGAATGCATGACAGTACTGAGAAAAAATAAGTACCAACAATCTTATGCCTTTGGCTTTGACTTCTAACATTTCAAAACCTACCAAGCAGTTTGGATGCACTGAAGTTGTTTTGTGACGGTGTTCCTAAGAAATACCAAACATTGTGAAAATATGATACATGTAGTATGTAAAGATTTAGTGGGAAAAGGCAATTAATATACTTGGCCATTTTCAGATAATGATGGTAAGATCAAATCCTAGTAAATACTGCAGCATTTGCAAAAAGCTACCAACACTAAACCTTTTCTTTGTCAATCAGATTAAGAATGAATTTAGTCGTCGATTTGTAAAAACAAAAAGTTTCACGCAAATTACAAGAGAAAGAGTTTTCTCCCTTGATTTTTCTTAAGCAGTGTTAAAGAGATATGACTAAATGGCAAAATGTAGCATTAGTGTACATTAACCAGCATTCAAAATACCTTAGTGTGGCCATTCCTACTGGTTGAGAGCCAATAATGTGGCTGGTCTTAAAATGCTTGATGGAACACCAGCTGGCTGTGTGCCAACTCATGCAGTGACCACACACGTGGCAATTTCTGTATAAGGAGATTGTTTATGACTGCCCTCACATACCATAACATGGTTAGAGGGATTATGAAAAACATTAAGTGAATGTTTGAACAAAATTATTGAAAATTTATAATTTTTAAAGCTTGTTTTGACTTTGTTGACTTGAAAGGTACCCTTGCCTTTGATTCAGCCACTATCAGTGTCCATTTTCCTGGTCCAGTCTTGAAAGAATAAGTACACATAGATTTTCTCAGTACAAGACTTTAAACACAGGACAGTTTTTAAATAATGTTAAAATGCCCATTCACGAGAGAATACACAGCACGATCAGGGACTTATCGCTACACAGACTCAATGCATGGATAGGAGAGCGCGGTTTTCAAGCCGTGCCACATCTAATAGGGTTGACACATCGCAAGTGTGCACCGGTCTGCCTCCATTCCAATGAATACGCATAAGTTATTATCATCTGAGAATACGCAAGCCTGCATGGCATTTATGTTGGCAGATCACTTGATATGCCAATGATGCTTCAATGCTGGTCCAATCTCTCATCTGACAGCACAGAATGTTTCTCAATCAACATCATATGCAAAACTTGATTTCAGAGGAGACCTTTGGAACAAAAGGCAGACTTAGATTGAAGAACTGAACTGACTTCTTCAGACGTTGTAAACCACTGACAAATGAGCCTCAGAAAGGAATCAGCTCCATGTTGGTCAACCCTGTGATGTCAGGGTACAGTTTTGAGCCCACTGGGCCTGGGGGTACACCTGCATTGGGTTCTTCGCAGACTGGAAAAAGTTGGCCGTTACTGATGGCGGTGCTGGGAGGGGGTTCACAAGTGGGGGGCGATGGGTACTGACTGACGCTCTCCCTGGACGAAACGTGCTGGGGGACCTCAGCCGAGATGAGGTCCAGGTCGGACGCCCCGTGGCTTGGGGGCCGCGCCTGCCTTCTCGGTGGCAGTCGGAGCAGCAGCTCCTTGTGTAGCGACTTCTCCGAGTACGGCGAGTGCATCAGGCTGCGGACCACTTTCTGCACTTTGCCCAGTGGCGGCGAGGGGATCCGATCGTAGCGCAGGCATGGCAGGGACAGGATCTGCCTCACAAGGGCACTCTGCTCCTCCCCTGCCACACCTGAGATGTCACGGTAGACAACGGGGATGATCTCTCGCTTGTAATTCTTGGCGTTGTCCATGGCAAAGATGACATCCAAGTTGCGGCGGGAAGACAGGTAGTCCGGGCTGAATATTATGACACAACGGCAGCTCGTCTCCAGCATTTGCAGAATGTCTTCATCGGTATCTGATTACCAAAAAAAAAAAATCATCTCAAGTAATTCATCTCCCGAAACAAAAAAAGAAAAAAAAGCAGAAATCATGTTTAAAAGAAACGGTTGAATTTCACGTACAACTAAAAATTGTGAAAGCAAAGAATTTAAAAAGCAAAATTAAAAAAACTAATTAAAATTAAAACTTTGGAATCTTTATGTCGTGAAAGCAAGATGAGAACCAATTCTGTCCTTTCAACAGCCTTGAAAACTCAGCATGATACACTGTTTTTCAATAAAAATGTCACATGCACTTGAGCTACACACCACTTTAAAACAAATGTAAACTTCCTGGGGCAGTGATAAATAAATGAATTATAAATCTTTACGACATGTAACAAGTTCTCACTCGGTCTCAAGTTGTACTCATTTTCCAAAGTTTACTTTTGAAGATATCCACATTTAGATTTCAGAAAAAAAAAAATGAGGTTAGTGTTCATTTCACTGAAATGAAAAAAAAAAGCACGATTCAATCATAGCTACCTCCACCAGGCAAACAGTGGATCTCCCACAGTACTTTGTAGCCAAGTTCCCCCAGGCGTCTGGCTAGGCTGATGGCAAAGCTCTGGTCCTGCTCGGAGCTCCAGTCATAGGACAGGTAGACATCATAGGACTTGGAGTCTGTGAAAGCCAAAGGAAGTCACCAGCGGGTGACATGGTTTGAATGGTCACGGTTTGAGTGGATGTTGTCGAACGCTGGGCTAACACGTGTGGACGGCCCCTTGTGGGGCAGGAGATAATTGAAAGGGTGGCATTGAATGGAAAATCGGTGGGTCGGCATGACAGGTCATAGCCTTGTAAAAGATGTCACAATGTCCATTCAACTTCAGAAGGGTCCAGACTTACGAAGTTGTTAAACAGCATATCATGTAACATTATATTGAAAGTAGGGAACATAAAAACCGTTCTCGTAATTGTTGAATTGCTTGTTAATTTTTTTATGAGTCAATGTTTGAACAAAAAAAAGCTCAGTTATAAAACACCGAAAAGTTTCTTTTAATTTACATTTTGGGCAGAGGTGTGTCATAAAACACATATGGCCTTGCAATGAGGTCACTCATGCACATCCATGCCCCTCTCAGACCGGTGAGAGACTGGAAGAGGGTCCATTTCCCTTCAGCCTTGGGGAATAGGACCCTCTTCTGGTCACGCACAATATACCACATGATATTTTAGGTGGTCACCTACTTCTGCTAAGCAAAATCTCTTCAGTGCTCAGCAAACTAGATGACCAACACATACTGCATAGTAAATGAAATCAATATGCTAAGCAATTCATTCCCAAGCTCGTTTTCTGGCAGAATGTTGCTTACCCTTTACTCTCTCACACTTTCCAGATTCCTTCAGTTATTCACATTTTGTAATTGCCTATTACTTTAGAAACAAGTCAGCAACACACTCCGAGGTGTGCCAAGCCAATACTTTGACATGCAAATAGTTTCCTTAAAGTCGCCCCACTAAGAGTCGGTGCTGATTCAATGTGGCATCCTCCAAAATCCTTTGCATGGAAGGCATTAGCATATCTGACTGATAGGTGTAACATCTGATTGACAGGTGTAACTTCACACCTACAGAGTAAGGGTTAAGAATGCATGGAGCGGGATCCCCGTCCGACGTCCAAAGGCACACTTTGGCAACCCTGCCACAGCAAAAGCTGAACTCTCATGATGTGTTCCTCGAATGATGAAAGAAACTAGAATTGCTTACCATCCCTTTTGCCGGCAAAGTCTTTCCACTTCAACTTGACATCAGTGTTAACCCGATGCCAGGCCAGCAGGAGAATACCAGTTATCACAACAAGGCAGACTAAAGGGATGGTCAAGTGATGATGCCAGTCCTCTGGAAGCACTTCTGGTTGGTGAGTGGGTGGAGCTGACAAAAAGAATAAGGAGATTCAAAGGTTCCTCTTGAAGACTTGTCACTGTTTGCTATTAAATTCTCCCTAGCCGGACCTAAAAGTGGGCTGAGGCTGGGTTCAAAAGTTCTGGCTGCAGCTAGCAGTGCTTGCACTTGTTTATGGGAGGTGAAGGCAGCCGAGAGCAAGTGGCTTCCATCGTGCATGCGCGGTTGCTAGCCGTAGCCAAGATTGCTGGCCTGCAGACTCAGCCTCGGTATCGGTATTTCACTGAGATGTAGAGTCTGATAGGAAGGGGAATCCCAATCCATAGTTCAAGGCAGTATCTGTGGTCAGTGACACACGAGGCAACGTATAGGCAACTGGTCCCAAAGCAATCGCCGAGAAGAATACGGCAAGAGGTTTAAACATGAGATAGATTTCCTAAGCAATATCTGTCAAATGTTGGGAAAGTGTACTCAGTTCTGCTCAAGGTTTCCTCAAGTAGAATTCAGTTGCCTTATAAGTTGCCCAAGAGAATTGTCTCATGTGAATTGGCCTCCATGATTTTGTTTCCTTCCATACAATCTTTCAAGGGTCATCTAGCATGAACTTGGAAACAGTAGCCATACAATGATCAGCAGATGTGTATTTTCTGCTGAACCAAACAACTGACTTTAGTTAAAGAGGGTTCCCAAACATGAAATGCTTGGAACTTCTGCTGTCTCTTCAAATTAGGAACGCAAAGCTTTTTCTACCTGAAACACACTCTAAACAAGTCAGTTGGGCACAGGTTTACACATGCTTGAGCCTCGACTCAAGGTTATGTTAATTTGAGAACGTACTGATCTAAATAAACGTGGGATTGATAAAATAAAAAATGCTTATTCTTATTTGGAACTGAAGACTCTTTCTGAAAAGCCAGTTTCCATAGAACAGGATTTGTAAGTATTGAGACTTTGCTCGAGACTGGTTGCCAGTGAGCTCTTCAGACTGATCTCCCTTACCATACATCAACTCCACATCTGTGGCTTTTTGCCAACCGCAGTTGTGGACGGACAGCTTGTATGTCCCGAAGGCATTCTCCGAGATGTTCTTGACCTCCAGTTTGAAACCAAAGATGTAGCGACAGTCGGAATAGTTGCACACTGCCCTGAAATTCAGAGAGAGAAAAATGAGTGAAAACAAACTGGGCTAATAGAAAAAAACTTTCAGTAAACTTGGCCATTTTGTTAGGTATTTTTACATTGTTTTAAACAAACCAGGTCTGGAAAAGAAAATTCTCAGTGTTTCGTATCAGTTTTAGTCATTCAAGCACAAGAGAATACTACTCCAGGTGTTCTCCTCGATTCAAGGAAGTGGATAAGCTCTGTAACTCACACAAAAGCAATTATGCTAATTAATTTACAGAAAGCTGTTAAAAAAACTAATTGGTTGAGCACAGAAAATATTTAATCAGCAAAAATGTGCCAATAAGCAAAACATCACTTACAGTGTAACTTGTACCATATCTACATAGTTCTCAGTTAACAGTATTTCCTACGAGCAATATTTCTTACTAAGCAATATTTCCAATGAAACAGCTCTCAGAAATGCTTCACAAGCCTTCGGAGCAGGGGTAACGATGAAACAGCACTGAGCACGCACTACGAACCACAGCATGGCCATCACTTTTGTTCTGTGACTGGTACTGTTACGTGGACAGACATTTCATCGGAAAGACAGCTCACCCATTTTCAACCAGTTTTTCCAGTCGATATTCCGTGACATTAAATGCAGTGGAACCAGGTATCTCATTCAGCCTCAGGTATCTGTGCAGCAAGTCATCCTCGGCAGCTGACTTGTTGACCTTCAACCAACTCCCAAAGTTGGGGCTTCCGGAAACTGAGGGGCAGTCCAGCGACCCGATGTGGAACTCGCAAGTGAATGTGACAACCCCTCCGATGTTGGCGCTGGCATTCAGGCAGCGCTGGTGGTGGAGATTGATGGGCTCAAACTTGCTTATGCAATCTGGGAGGAAAATGTTGCATGAAAGAAAAACAGGAATCTTGAGCTGAAGGCTACGGGCTACAATTTTGGTACTTTTTCCAAATGCAGTTAAATGCGACTACTCCCTGAATCTGCAAAATCTGCCAGTGTTGGGAAGAACTTTGGTGGCAAGGCTAATTTAAACTGCGAGGAAACCAGAGAATGTCCACAGTGGACAATGCCATTCGAGACGCTTCAAAGGCACCACCAGTCCAACAAATAGGGCAGGTTTCCAGTCTAACCAGGATTCAGCAACAGGACTGCTACGCGGTGGCACGAGAAACAATCTCTGGTGATATCAACCCCTTATTTGGGCACATGAAAACAGGCCGAGTTGGGAAAAAAAGTGTTAAGTCAACAACTGACGTCTCAGGTTTATGGCTATGTGCCAATTAGACGCAGATTGGACATGGGGGGGACAATCCCATACCAAACCCGGGCAATCTATTTAAACAGTGCAGATAGGTGCACCGCATAAATAACTTCAATGCAGGCTGAATACAACAGTCCAACTACAATTCCCAACCAAAGTCCTTAGATGCCATTGATAAACCAATGTTTCTCCAGGACAAAAGTACTGGCATGCCATGATGTGAACCTTTCTGTTATCTGTATGCCACAAAGTATGTCACAGGAGAAAAAAATAAGCTCGGTGAATAAAGGTCACAGCTACACAGAGGACGGGGGGTAATAACTGAAGTACAATGTACTTAGAGAGCCAGCATTGGGACTGAGGGAGTGTGTGCACAGCGTACGTGTACATGGATGAAATTCCACTGCTAATACTCGGCACCCTTTTTTTGTGATCATTTTATATTGCAGGGTCGTTGAAGGGGTTTGCAATGTATGGCATGTATGACAAAAACCTGTCACAAACTACTCATGGCTGCAAGGATTCACCCGTTTTAGAGCAAAGAAATGTTTCCTGCGTAAGAAAATCACTTTTTTGTATCAAATGCTACCTTCCATCAACATGTTCAATACTGCTTTGAGAAAACCTAGTCTCTCCTAAAGCAAACACATTGGTGAAAGGAATGTTCAATGGATTACTCATGTCAGATTTGCTGAGAAAGGCCACACACCAGCCAAAATATCATGGAAATTTGGAAGCGCAAAGAACACAAAAGTGTTATTAAGACATCCTCCCCCCACTTGTCCCCTCCCCCCCAAAAAAATCATGATCACACGTCTGAACATACCCCGACATGTGACATACAACGTGAAAGTCCGTCTGATGGAGGTCCTGCCATCTGATGCCTCACAAACGTAAACGCCCCCATCCCCGTAGCTCAGCTCCTTGAACTGCAACTTCTGGTTCCGATCGATAAGTTGGATATTGTCAGTTGTCCGCACAGGCTGGCCACCCTTTGTCCAACTGACGTTGCAAAAGTCGTGCGCCCCGCAGTTGACCTCTGTGCGCTCTTGCTGGTAACCCACAACTTTAAAGTCACCTCCGTCAAAATGTAATCTTCTCTTATCTGTGTACAAAGAATCATTGTCAAACTTTCATTGGTAAAAATGGGGTGGTTTACATAAAGCAGTGCTAAATGGAGGAGTTTTTGTCAACCTTTCTTACTTATTTCACATCACTTCGTAAGCATACACATAGGCACAATGCACACATATTGGACCATTAGCAAGGAGGCCACTAGAGCACCTGCATGCACCCGTTGGGATGGTGAGCAGCCAGAGGAGGGTCCTTTTATAGGACCCTGTTCCTTCCTGGTCACAGGCTCCAGGGAGGCATAGATGTGCACTAGCGATAGAATTATGCCGAACCACAGGAGTTGTGCAACATCTCTGTCCAAAATGTGCAACAAGAAAGTGATTTTTTAAAGGGTTTTTATACAAGTAAATGAACTGTTTTTATTCAAGGGGCTATTAAAGGAACTCTTTAGTCTCCCTAGATTCAATTTTTTGAGTTGTTTACTGTTCTCATCATGTGAGGGCGCTGTAACATGTCACACATTTTGAGTATGGCGATGTCCTGGCACAAGTCAAGCTCATGCTACTGCAAATGGATTGGTGACTGTGCATGTGACTGTACTACATTTCAGCCAACCAGGAGAAAGAACCAGCAAGAGATGTGTCTTAAAAATATGCTTACAATACTATTTGTATCAAACCACCAAACCACAATACAAAACACAAACCTTGTTGATGGCAAACATGCTTGTAAAGAACTTACATTTTCATAGCTTTCCAATTGAAAGTGAATGCCTGGTCTCCAACAATACATGTTATTGCAAAATGAAAACTATTCTTGCAGTTTGTACCCAAAAAAAGCGGTTGGTAAGATTTACTCCTTCAGTTCCTTTGAGATTATTGATAACGTTGATAAAGGACACAAGCCAATGTAAGCATGTGAAACTAAATGGGAGTCCAAACATGTCATTTAATGGACTCTGCATGTACCGTGTATCACCGAATATTATTCATCAAAAATACATCCACAGTATGTAGTGTGAATGCACGTACGCTGAATAAAGGGTGGTTGCAACTCTGAGCATGACAAACTCAAATTGCAGACCTCTTCAAAATGGAACCGTCTAAGGAACAACTTGTGCTTCACTCCTCAGCAAAAAGCAAGAACTATAAGACCTCCTGCAACATGTTACATTCAGCCCAATTACATCACTCAACACTCCGCAGACTAAAATAGAGTCTTCTGTCGAGGTGGATGGACTTCATTTGGTTAATTGTTTTGCTTTGACAAGATGATTCCACAAAGCAACTGCATGTAGGCCTCAGACATTCGAAGACATTTCCCTGAGCAAAGTCTGGAAAGTTTGTGATAACACCATAGAGGTAAATTTCTTTTATAATTGTGGCTTCTGAGAAGTCATTAGAACCCCCTATTTCAACTCCATGTTTTGAACAGTACATGTACGTGCTCTGATCATCATTAGAAGATCGACCAGACATTTCTCTGAGGCACCCTGACATAAATTGATGCCAAACTTTTCCACTCTGTTGGACATCTACTAAAAAATGCACTGTAAGAGCAATTTTCAATCATGGTAGAAGGAACCAAATACTTTGATGACATGATCTGTCAAACACAGCCCATACCAAGGCAGAAATCATAGCCATGCACGATTCCATAACATATTAAATTGAATATATTAAAAGCAAGTAATTTCCCTTGATGCACAATCCATATCCCGGCTTCACGCACCAGTGAACAAGTGTAAATCATCGCATCTCCTGATATCACTTATATCGCTAGACAGCCTTTGCTACTAGCATATACACCAATCCACCCTCGTTCATTAATATGCAAGACGGGCCGACTGATCGGTTAAGCTCGATGGTATCTTCTTTCTTCAAGTACTTTAAAGTTCCCCAGCGGAATTGACGAAGAGTTAGAGAGAACTTTTCTCAGACTTGTGCAAGGTACATGCACATTCAATAGAAAAATTTAATGTTCCTTAACAGCAGGAAAATAAAATTGAAATGAAACACTTTATTCTCCCAGCCAGGCCAATTTCTCTGAAACTTGGTAAACTTGGTCTTAAAACCATTCAAGTTCGTGACAGGTTGATTCAATGATCCAACTAGTGACTTTGTTATTGTAGTCATTTACTAGTACTCTCACTTGTTTTGGCTCATGCACAGGTTCACTCTTTCATGTCCTACCTGTTGACTTTTTTGACGGACTGTAAGAAAACGGCATTTTCTGATATTCATGAAAATGATGCCAAAATGGCTTCAAGATTTGAACATGAAAAATTCACTGGGCTCAGCACCAAAAAAAAAAACTGTGACGCAAAAATATCCGAGGAAATGTGGACGGCAGAGAGGTAGGTTGTTTCTCCCCTTAAATTTTCTGTTCATGAAATTGAACAAGTGCAATGCTAGTAGACAAAACACTGTCAAAACTGACACGGTAAAAGTACAGGGGAAGTGTGTTTGAGTACTGTGTTGGTTGGGAATCACCTCTGTATCCCTGGCCTGTACCTGACCTCACACTGTCAAGGGTTAAGAACCCACAAGCCCTGCAGCTGGAACACACATTGGGTGGTTTAGAAGACCTGATATAAACTGTTTGACAATGTGGAACTTCCTTTCAATCCAATGAGTCACTCATTCTTAGTATAGGTCATTTAATATTTACTGTACTGTAGGTTTTGGGTCTGTACTTTGCAGAATTCACTTAGATTGAGTGCTGGTCAAAGCACGGAGGTAGAAACAGTTGAAGATCCACCTGTTTGCATTTCTTCCAAACCTTACAGACAGAAAGTTGGATGCCAAATCATCTGCTCCAGGTTGATAGAAACTCCACCTACACTGTACACAAGTGTAAGGCAAATATTCACATATATTATGAATTTAACCTCTTTTTAATGATATTGCTGTTATATTAGCAAGATGGCCTTGGATTCAGCAGCATCAATGCAGCACCCAATACAGCTCCTTGCGCATTATGGCTATGTTCAGACAGTATTCTAACTAAACAGAGTTAAACTGGTTGCTCACCACAAAAGGTCCGTCGGAACGTCAAAAACAGCTGTTTGCTCAGACAACATTTTTTTAAAAAGTCCAACACAAAGTCGTCAATAACCTTTTTCATCTGGCATTTCTATAATGTAGCATGGTTCACTACCACGCTTGTTTAGCAACAAAAGCATACCACAGAAACATATCACATTATTCTGAGTCAACTGCACCGGCTAAATCGGAACAGGCTTTTAGCTAAAACTGTTCAGACATTATACAAAATTTTAAATTGTTCTAGTTTAGCACTAAACGCACCCTCCAAGGAGGTTTAAATCACCATTTTAGCAGTGAGGTATACATTTAACTAATTTGGCTTAACTTTGAAAGAGTTCAGATATTATTTTAGGAGAAACTTGATACTGAATAGAGTTTACTTAATGTTTTATGCTAAGCTATGAATGGTGCCTGAACAACACGTAGTGTACCCTAGGAACACCACACTCCACTGGAGAAGGAGGCCACATTTCCATTGCCTTATTGTTGTTGACATTTAACACTTTTCCCAGTTTATTATCTTTTCAGTCCTTTCACCAAACAATTACTGTTAATTGGTGATCAAGGACCAACAAAACTGTAGTTTGCTCACCACTATTTTCAAGAACTGAAGCATGAAAGTGTAGTTAGCGTTCTCCGCTTTGCTGTGGTGTTTTTTTGAGATTCAAATTTTGCAGTGGTAACACAAAATGCAAAACCTGATCTAAGTAGTTTTATTACAACTCAAACTCATATTTCTTGAATTAAGACCAACAAAGGCATGAACCACTAGCCTCTCAAGCGTGTTAACACAAGACAAACAGCCTCCTAACTGGGTATTCGAATAAGCCTTTTCATTTCTTTCCTTAGCCAATTTGCGATCCCAACACCTCCAGCATTTTTGGCTTGGAACCTTCCTGAAGCCGTCTAAACTAACCACTCTGTCACTTCCTTGCACTCAAACCTTCTAGGGCCATCAAGTACTGTGTCACATGTAGAGTACAATGCAAATGAAAGTTAACCTCAAAAGGGAAAAGCATTTCACACTTCTTCCTTTCGGGAAAAATGAATATGCATTTCACAAATTGTGAAAAATTTTCCCTCCAGTGGGAAAATGTTTCACACTTTCCTCCCCTCTGTAAAAAAGGAAATCCACAACTTATTTCACGAGAGGAAACTTTTCACATCGTTTTACACCATTTGGAAAAATGTTCACACTTTTGTTCACAAGTGGGAAAATTGTTCACAAGTGGGAAAGATTTTCACAGGTGAGAAAAATTTTCACAGCTTTTTTTTTCAGAAGTGGGAAATTCGCCTGCGAATGGGAATGTGAATTCTTTTCACAATTCCCCCCCCCTCATTTTCCCAGGGTTGAGTTTCAATTGCAATGCACTATAGGCCCTGTGTTAGAGTGGTCCTCAATCCAGCCAAATCCCGTCTCCCATCTCACTCACAGTGCATTTTCATGTTAGACCATGTTGGCTTCCCAGCATCTGTCAAGTGCAGTCTCCTGAGTCTCATGCTGGCTATTTTCAAATTCAGATAACTTGGCTAACAACAGCACCCAGGAATGTTATCGGGCTCCCGGCAGACCTCCCACAAGTTTTGATAGATAAGCACATTGCTGCCCCGTCCAGATCAATCGTGCAGGCATCCAAAGCAAGAAAACAAGCGAGGCAAGAAAGGGATCATCCACGACTGACAGCTTTGCCATTTATTCACAAGATACACGCAAGTCTGTGTGCGTGCACAAAAATATTGCAAGTGTAACTTCTGAGATTGAAAAGACAAACTGTAAAAAAATGCAGGCACACGGAAATGCAAAATATGTCTATTTTTTTTCCGAACAGATCCAGACCTGTAAGACTGAAACCAAGGCAAAACCAAAAATTTACCACGATTCGCGTCTCTCCAACACAGCAATTCTAAACAGACATGAATCCTTGGGTCCCTAACATACCACCAGTGTGCCCTTCTCTCCGGAGACCCCATTAAACCACACGTTTACTTAATTTACTACTGACTATTGAATGGGTCAGCCTGTACAATGAACTAAAGCCCTTGTCCTGCTTTCATAATCCCACAGTTCTTTCTCCCTGAAACCACCCTCTTTCCCAGGATGAAGTACCTGACAAACGTCCTTCCTGACAACGAGCCACCGATAATAGGCACGTAACCATACATGTCCTGTGTACCACTACCACACATGTAAGAACCCGTACTTTGCAAGGACAATACAACTTTAACCTTTACACTTTCTGTTCTCTGATAATTCACAGCTATTGTGCCTTGGTCACCTTTCATGTATACCCTTGTGAGTAAGCGTTAGAAATCCACGTCACAGAATTTTTACACTGATATCACAATTCTCATTCGCCCATTCTAATGTCACTTCCAAGCTTCCTTTTTTTGTATTATTTATTTATTTATTTACTTTTCAATTTTACATTAGCAAGGTGGCCTATCAATTAGAGTTGGTATTCCAACAGGTCCCAATACTTCAAGATCATAACTATATGACCAAGTGGACAATCAATAGGTTGAGTGAGCCAGCTGAACCTGCTGAATTGATGTTTACTTTAAAAAGCCACAGGACGAGCATGATGAGGAAGCTCTCATTTCAGAATCCCAGTCTGAAGTGTTACTATTCGTATAGGTGCACTGGTGAGTATACACTTTTTCCCACGTTGGTTTTGGTTTTAGATCAGTTTCTGTTGTTTACTGCAATTTGAATCCACCAGGATATGGCTATTGAAGACATTTCGGCAATGAGCAGGAACTAATCATGTCACCTATTCTCAACATTTCCCCTTGCAACCTCTCCAACGATAATTTCCTTAAACCTTACTCAATGCCAGTACCACATTCGCAGCTGGTGACTCACGGTGAACGGTGACTTGTGTGGTAAACAAAATGTCCAGGAACACAACACAGGCTAGAATAAAGACAAGAATATAATATCAAATCAGTGCTCTAAAATATGTGATTACCGAGCTTTTGGTAACTGAGTAACTGAATCTGCTTGCCCTGAAGAAGGTACTCAGTTACCGAAAGCTCGGCAATCACATATTTCAGAACACTGATTTGATATTATATTCTGGTCATTATTCTGATCACAGTGCTATGCAGCCCTTCCCTATTTCACAGGCTAGAATAAAACTGGACTGAAAAGTTTGCTTACGCACTGACCCAACCATTGGTGCTGTGCACTCAAGCAAAATGCCTGACCATACGACCACCCATCACACCCAGCAACACCACTATTTATCAAAGGTGTGCACGTAACTCACACAAATATGGTTGACAAAAAGGTATTGATGCAGATGGCACAGTATTAAAGGGATCTAATGATAAACCATAGCATACCAATGTTACTGGTGTTTGGAAGACCTAGATGCCAGATAACTAAAGACATCCTTTTAACATTTGGATACAAAATCAGGGTTGGAATGGAAAGGCAATTAAAATGGATGTTGGGAGAGAGATTTTTTAAAGCACACTACTCACAGTACTGTGGGCAAATGCAGAATACACAACTGCAACCTTGAACATAAATGGACATATGCATCACTGAACAAGCTAAGGCTGTGTGTTGCGACGCACCATTGTGTATTTTCTGAAGTAGGAACTTCCGCAAGAAATCACAATCGGTAACATTTCACGGGGTTCGTTGTCCTTGCTTACTGGTCTATAATTTAGTGTAGGTGTTGCCTTGGACTCCTTTGACAGAGTACACAGCACTCCTTTTTTGGGAAAATAAGTCTTTTTACAGGAGGAATCCTTACTTACAGACTCACTTTTTCCACTGGAAACTGAACGCAGACCCAAACCCGGAATTTCCCTTAATTTTTTCTAAACTAGAGGAAAAAAAACGTGTCCAAGAAAAATTCTTTATCGAAATACTTCGACCAAAAATATGTGTACATGTGACTTTTTTTTTCCTTCAGCTGACACCCACAGCATGACACATGTGATTACACGGATAAATATCCTCACACCATTCTCTGTTGGGATGGCACACTCTAGATTTTCTAAAAATAGAAAACTGGCCCTCTTCAAAACTGAAAAATCAATTGCAGCTGTCTGCACGGACACGAAACTACTTAACTGAACAACAAGGGTAAAGTACAAGTCAAGTTCAAATGTGCACAGGTATGCGTACCTGTAAGTTCCAGCACCGCATTTGACTCCCCTTTCCTCCAACTTTTTGACTCATGAGTCGAGTTGAAAAAAGGACCAACAAGCAAGTCATGAATAATAGCTCAGTTGCCTGGGAGCCACTGTGTCAAAAATCATTTGAATTGTGCTTGAGCCAGACAATTTACTCAAAGGAAAATATTCAGCACACCAAAGTACCATACATACATGCTACACTGACTGACACCAGTACACAGACCAAATGGTATACCAAATAACTGGCTGGATCTGTTACTTACTGAGATAAATACCTACTAACTTATGACATGGAAGACTCCCCTTTGGTTACCAACCCTGTGGGTCACGTCCTTCAAATGGGATATAAAGTCCACAGTTAACCCTGTTCAATAACAGTGCATGTTCAAAACCAAGAAGACTTTATCGCAGCAGGGTAAATTAGACAGATTCCTACACTGTACTTAAGCAAGTGAGAACATCAATTTATTAAGTTACACCAGATGTTTGTGAATTTCCAATACTTTGAAACCATTTCTTTTTTTAACTTCGGAGCATTTCAACCTAACTTCTGTTCAGTTAATTCATTCAAAATGGCCTTGAGACTTTGTTTCAGGTTTCTTCAAAGGTCAATTCTTCTGCTCAAATTTACAAATGGAATTTGCACAACTTAGTGATAAGATTAGTGATTCACATTATGTGAAGTCCATTACCTGTTTGGCTGTGTTGCTGGCAGACGGCAAACCCCCTCACAGGAGGAGTGACCAATACCGTGGCAAGTGCGGTGACAAGTGTGGTAAGAGTGACCAGCCGCCTTATCCGGGTCACAGCCATGGGTTGACACTGACGAGCCTCACAATTCACCGTACAACAAGGGGCTCCTCCCTGCAAGAAGGTCAGATGTGTGACTGTTACAAAATCACAGCACCACTGCATTAAGAAACAGAGTTGGCATGCAGGAATAGTTGCAGAGTAAAGAGAAATATTAATGTCAGTGCGGTACCATTACACTTGCTAGCCTGCTTCAGGCTACCATCGCATAATACCGTGACAGGTGGATACAATTGTCTAACCTCTGATCTCTGCCTCAATGCTCTCCTCTCCTGAGCAGGATACTCCAAATGAGTGATGTGCCACTAATGGTTCCCATAAAACCTTGTTCATATAATGTGAGTGGATGACAGACAACACTCATACGTCTACCAGTCTGAATAACTGGTTCTCCTGTATCCCGATATATTGCTCGATTTGAACACTCCAATAATAATTTAATAGTTTCACTCAGTTTGACGTGAACTCATTATCTCAAAAAGCACTCAAGTTTATGAGAATATTGATTTAACGATCCACTTTGTGAAACTGGCCTAAATGTAACCGAGATCATGATTAACCTGTTCCACTACGTGCGTTGCGGTCAATCGCCAAATGCAATCTAGCCGTGCTGTCAGGTTACGCACAACTGCCTTTGGGAAATCAGCTTTTTACCTGTACCCTATAATTACCGACACTGAAGTTCAACAAAATGCACGCACGCAGTCCTCGCAGCAAATGAATACTGACTAATGCACTTAGGACATGTTTTTATTAATTCCGCTCGAGGAAAACCATCCAAATCCACAAAGAAAAAAAATTAGTCCCGAATTATTTCCTTCTGTTCAAAACAGTTGTAATTCTTCCGTGACACCTATAAATAAACTACTCTTTCAACGGCCGTAAAGACACATTGGGGAAGTAAAACCGGCTCGGGCACGAAACTGCCGTGTAAACTTACAACTACTTCAATGCAAGTTTAAATTGCCTATTAAAATATTACTGCACACGACTTGACACAAGGAAGTTGAGACTTGTCTTACAACTGTACCACATGAATGAGTCAACAACATTTCACTAAACTGTTTTACACTTCACAGTTCTGCTGTTTCAACACATATCCAGAAAAGTCTAACATCTACCACATACGGCAGCATTCTGAAGCAAGTCTTTTCTTTGCAGGGACAAAGTCAAGTCACGAGTCATTTGATCTAAGCACAAGGCAAGTCTCTTTGTTCAAGTGCAAGTCAAGTTGCGTATTATTCTGTCCAGCTGTTATAAGCAAACGGGGCCAGGCGTCAACTTAACTTTCATGTTTTAGAAAGTCCACCAATTAGTCTTCTTGAATAAAACTGAGGTGGAGGAAATCTTCCGTTTTGTTGTTAGTCTGTCTGATTCCTTGCTCTGTTCGTTCACTTTCTTGGTTTTTGTCTGTCTGTAGTGCCGTCACTCTGTCTTTGTCTTTTGTCCATTCGGTTCATTGAATATCTGCTTGTCTCTCTGTTTCCACACCTTCGGCTTCAACTCGTAATTTTTTACTGTTTTACTTGTAAATTTACAGGCAGGTTGAACTTTTTGGTTTATAAGAATGTTTTCTTCCCCAGCCTTGCCTTCTCCACATTTTTATCAATTCATTTCCCAACTACTTATTGTGTGCCCACTTCTTTCTTTATCTATTTGTGAGTCTTACACTACATGTGATTGTATTATTTGTGTTATATATAAGTTTTTTTATGAAGAAATAAATAACTAAATAGTAATTATAATAAAAGTTGCGAGTTTTGGATCACTGAACTTGACTGACATGATTAGTATACCTACGCTTTATTGTTCAATTTCCATGTGTACAATGGTTACACACTTCCATTTATGGCACCTACCCCTTACATGTACATGTATGCACTGTGTATCCCTTTCGTCTCCACAAACACCATGAAGTATAAACAAAATGACGTTCCTATTTTTCTTGCAAACTGAACCCATCAAATGCTATTGCTGTTTTGTGATGTTTAAATTAATTTTACAAATGAAGATAATGTTTTAGGCATATTTAAATACAACGTATCATGATGCATGTCAGCTCAACCCACAGGCATGACAGATTCATTAACCAGACAGTGTCTTTGATAAGAATGCACCATTTCCTGCTGGCTTCCAAGTTCCATACCCCAAATCCTCCCCCCTTTTGGCTCTAAATGGGCCTTAAATCGGTCAAGGAATAAAAGTAGATTTAGGCAAATTTAGGATAAAGACACACATCTGACTAAGACTCTTGATAGTAAGTAAGCCAGTAAGTTGTGTGTTTGGTATGAATGCTATACATGTAAAAGGACATCACGTCAACTTTTCCCTGCAGATACTGTACATGTATCAACCATCAGAGAGCCAGATCATCTGCTACAATACAAAGTCAAATTTAGCAGGGAAAATGCGAGGCCTTCTCTTTGAAAAACACTTTTCAGCCCAGCCTCACAAGGTTTGTGCGCAGGGTGTCAAGTGATGTCCAGATGTGGAACTCTTTACGTGTGAGCACCCTAACATTGTCTCAAACCACTTTTTTCCCGACTAATTTAAACAATCTGTTAGATATATTTCCCGATGCCTTATACTAGGTGTTATTATGCAATAGTAACATCTATTTCCTATTCCTGGCAGCAGGAACATTGTTTCCTGCACCACACAACAATATTCAAGAGGTGACAGTCGCTACAACATAATAACAAATCGTCAAAATGGTGCAATACTCCTTGTCTTTACAAAATCCTGCCACAACTCCTCGTCCAATGGACTGCGCACATGTACCGCATTCCAGCAGTTAGGCCTACATCATACCTGTGCGTATGCTGTCTTACTCTTCGTAATGACGATCAGTCACCATCATCCCCCCCCCACATCGAAAACAACTTACCTTTCATGCCGATTGTTGTTCACAACCAACTTTACATGCTTATGGGACATTTCCAGCAATTCGCGGTCCATAAAGCTACGAATGTCTAATCCAAATTTCAAGTACCCGGTGCAGTTTTCTAGCCAATTCTTCGCCTTCCAAAGTACACATAGTATCACATCTTACGCAGAATTGGGGCACGGTACGCTACTTCCTGGACGGAACACTCCATTTTATTATTAGGTAGTGCCGGAAGTGTCACGCACAAATAAAATCTTCACCAGTTGGCTGCAGTAAGTCATTATTGAGCTATATTTTATACTCATCAATTGTTCTTGATTGTAATGGTAAAATGTTCTTATTCCCTCTGATGCACTGGTCAAGTGGTCGGGATCAGTGAAGTTCTAATCTAATTGCGAACACCTCCTATTGTGTCAATGTTTAAGTCCAACATTTCGTCACGACCATGTACAGGATAGGAGCAGACTTCTACAAAACCCACTGCTGTGCTTTCAATGGATGAGGGAAAAGCGCCCTCCAATAAAATAATTTCGCGCATTAATATCTGTTTTGTTTTGCACATAAACCCACTATGGTTGTTCCTTTCAGTTGTTGATTTTTGGGTATTTTTAATACCTGTGGAAGCAAGAAAAACAAGTGCGACATGCACGCAAGATAAGGAATCGATTGATTTCTTTATACGTTACTAGTTATTGGAAGGTCAGGCCACAACGGGACCAACCTGTGTGCGTCGCGAGGGCGGTGAACAAGTTTCGCTGATTAGACACAGACTAATTGCGCTAAATCGGAGCGCGGAACTGTCTGACATACTGTCAGCTCCATGATCAGAGCGAGCACTAGTCCAGTCCTCAAGGACAGAGTATGTAATAACGTAAGAGAGACCAGATTTTACAACTCTTAATTTCATACGACACTTTGTTTTGTAATCAAGAGTATCAAAATTGAGAACGGGGCTCAAACTCAAACAGAAACATAAGTGAAATAATAGAGGATTCCGATTAAAAGCTGCCTGGTTTCATTCTGTCACAAGACAAAGTAATCTCGACAGAGCGAAAAAAGACGCAAAGCCTACTCGCGTCATCAATGTTCCTTTCTGATTCCACCACTTCCACGGCGCAGAAAAAGCCTGACCAGACAGAAACAGGCTCGTATGAATGACGTGCGTGACGTCAGCCCCAGCATCACAATGAAATCCCGGAATTAATCATCAGAGAACTCCGTAACAACGAAAACGAGATTTAGATTTCACGATTAAAAAAATTTCACCTGGCACACAATAATAACCACAACACCAACTTAACACTTAGTATGCCATGTTTCAATATTTAAATGTGATCACAATCACAGTAAATAAACTCTTAAAGACGGATCAAAAGTATCTTAATGATAAAACTTGTTTCGGTCACAATATCAGTCTGATCTATTAAAAATTAATATGCAAGTTAGTACATAAAAGGGCAAGTCGCTGTTTAGACAAGGGTGGATTTAGGTGGGGGCCACGCCCCCATGGACCCCTTTTTGGGAGAAATAATGAGAGAAAGGCGATAATCTCAGATCTGTTTCACTTCCCTTCCTTCCAAAAGCGTGTAAAAATCTCCAAACGCATCCTCTCCCTGAGAAATTCGAAAGGCTGAAGGTTATATTAACATTTACTTATTCCCCCCCCCCAAAAAAAAACACCCCTCCTGAAAACTTAGCTCTGGGTGGGTCCTTGTTTTAAATTAAAATAGCGGAATTAATGGAATTGACAATGCATTTAATTTTTGCAAGTGTCACTGAAGAAAGTATTCTCAAATTGCGTTTAAAACCAACAAGTACTGGGGGGGGTCTATGCTCTTCTTGGGTCTAACTGAGAGTGGCAAATTTAAGAATGAGTAAGAATTCAAAAGCAAAACAGGAGGAAATCAATGTAGATAACGTGATAAAGATTCAATTTAAAGCGAGTTATCAATGCTAGGAGGTCTCTTCGCGCATATTACTGACATGTACAGCCAGATTTCGGTGGATGAACGTTTTATTAGACCGTGTAGATTGAGGCATACACAGGGCAGATTATAGTCAACAAGTAGATTAACCTCTTTCCTTTCAGACTCTATCAAGACAACGTAATCGCACCACAGTGGACAAACGCAATCGTTCTGACTCCGACACCACCACCACGAAAATGCCGAACATAACCAGACAGAACGGCTGATCAGACGCACAGACGTCAGACCATACAGCGACGTTTAGTTTTACTCTTTCTGCCTGGCGCCCTCTATCGATTTGGTGTACCACATGAATTCTGCGTAGCCTTTTTCGTGGTTTTTCAAATAAAACTTAATGGATTCATTCCTGCAACATTTTATGGTAACTGTCTCGCTCAAACAAAATCCACTGTTGGGAATTAATTCAAGACTTTCCCGCCTGTTTATTCACATATGTACAATTCTTAATGATTACATGTTCAGTTTTGTAGCATATAACTGCATAATTGTAATCCTAAATATATGAACAGAGATAGGAAAGTGCATTTACAATGTAAACAATGTTCGATTTGTCCGAGCACCGATGACTGGCTTAATAAAACGACAATAAAACCATTCAAAAAGTGATCAAGAGGAAAGAGAATGCATCCTTTTGTCACATTACTTTCACAGGGAGGTAGCCCCCTACCGGGAACAGCGGCTCGGCATGAGTTGACCGTACTACTACCTGGGGAGTTTAATAAGAATGATTTAAATGATGATTCAACAGTCAATGAGTAAATTGTAATTTATTAAATCTATAATTGAATTTAATATTATTCTTATAGATTTTGCAGCTTTTGATATTTGTTGTATTTCAGAAAGAAATAATTACAACAGAAACGTGTCTAAAATGTTTACGGTTCCCCCTACTGAGGAATGGCTTAGCCTAGCTTAATCAACCTGTATTCTCAATCGATGAATGCATGTGATGAATGCAAGCGAGCATACTCGAGTACTCTGCGTATAGCGCCACACAGATTTTTCACTGCAGCCAAAAAAATAAGGATCCTTGGAACTTCTGTATGGAAGGAACGGACATCTTTTACTCCGGAATTCAGTACTCATTTCCACGATTCCGATGCCTTGAGTCAGGAAGACCAACCTGCACACCTCTTCCAGTCATCCACCCGATTGTTCCGGCGCATAGGCGACCATTTTTCTGGCGGATTTAAGTCGGAAATTCTGGGTTTTTTTTGCGGTTTCGTCCATCGAGGAGACGCACACACGGTACCGGTGGAACGTGACGTGCTACAGGCCTGATTCAATCACCATTGGACAATACACAAACCCCGTTGACACGGCCTCGCTGGGGAATTCGCACAGCTCGCTCCACATCATGGCGCTTTCGCTGGATTTTATCCTCTCATTGGGGACGATTTTGACTGTTTTTTCGGGATTTTCGGTGGCTCTCTCCGGACAGAATGGATGTGCCGATGTTAGGGACGCTTATCAGGATAAGGGATTTAGCACAAACGAAGTGCCAGATTTCGCGGTCTCGGGTAAGAATGCTTGGAAGTTGGATGCCATATAATATTATTCCGTAGGCCTGTAGCTTGCCAATTTTTATTGGAATTCTTAACAGTCTAAACGTTACATGTAGCATCATAGCAAATTGGTAACGTCCTCGAACATTGTTAAACCTGAACTCCACAGCAACCTGTCAGAAAATGTAACAATAACCATGATAACAGAAATAGCAATAAGTGAAATTTTTGTTAAATTTTATTTGCATTGCAAGTGATTTTTTATGCCTTAGTCGTAATGCAAATGATGACTGGCATCCAACCTGGGATAGGCCTATCCAGCCGAAAATCTTGATGAATTGATATCGTCATAGATGCCTCCATCCAGCTTGTATTCATTTACATTGAACAAAACAAGACACATTAAAAGCAGTGTAGTCTGTAATGATGCAGATGTACCCTAATGTTGCACCTCTAACGAATTGTAGGGCCTACTTCAATTTTTTTTTCTCCTCCAGTGCCTTGCTCGAGCAATATTTTTACCGCACATTTGCATTCGCTATTACTGAAATTTCATTGAGTTTTCCCACTCATAAATTTTGAGTCAATTTACCCCTAGGTAAAACTCTATTTCGGTCTTATCTCGATGTGTTTTTTTTCCTACAGTGCACAATGAACCCTTTAAAATTCTCCCCAAAATAAGAAAATGATATTCTTACAGATATGTAATTATGTAGTTGGGTATGTGAGTGGAAAAACTTCTAAAGAAATGTTTGACTGTAATGTGGGATTTCCTGAGATTGTTCAAGTGCGCCAAGTCAGGGAGCACTCAGCTGGATTTGTGCCCAGTTTCTGGATGCTGCCATTCTTGACTTTCAGAATAGAAAGCCTAAATGCCATGACAATGAACTAGTTTGCAATGGTTCAACAGTACCAATATGATGAAAGTAATTGTAACAGTATGTAACTAAATGAATTTGAAGTTTGACCGCACTGCGTGTGGAAAGTGGTGGGTACCGGTACATCAAAGTTCCACACGTTGGGGACTCCATTACAATCATTGAAAATTTATGGACAGCATCGACATCTGCACATGCAACACAATTGTGTTACTCTAAGCCAAGGAAAAATTAGTTCAGTGAGAACTCATTTCTTCACAGTTTTACTGTTTCCAGCACAAGCTTTTTTGGTTTACCAGTGAAGTAAAGCTTTAAGCTGCAGTGCCTTTAAGCTTGGGCTTACTTTCTTCTGTGGGAGGCAGTGGGCTTACTGTGCCATCTTTCACAAAGATCCATCAGCAGGCATATATTTGGCGATGTCACCTGCCCCTGCTCTTCCAGATATTAGAACCACATGTGAGACACTTGCTGTCATTAGCTTGTCTGAGATTGGAGAACCCTGCAGGCTCTGTCTGTGAGGAGGATGTAGGGTGATGGGGGGGCCAACTCCACAGAACAACATTGGAACTCGCACAGATGCACTTTGCCGTCAGCAGGGGCAAAACCGGACATGCATCCTTTCCTCATGCTATTTTGACTTGATGAGCCAGACACATGTGGTTTTTGTTTTCCTTTGGTTGGCCTTGACAGAGTTTCTGTTCTCCAGTTTCATTTGATCAGAATTTGTTTTGTTTACCCTTGCATGCACGGCTGGCCTCGAACATGACTTACTGAAACTGAAAGTCAAATCAATAGAGTCTTGTGTAATAATAGTATGTATGTCACAAGACCGTAAGGAAACCCAGTAGACAATTTAAACATATGCTTTACCTTGTAAGACCTTTGCTTACAAGTATGCTTATGTAGTATGTACACATTCATGTACATGTGTGATATTTCCATGTAGGCCCTGTCTTGGTTGTACATGTATACATGTACATAGGAATATAACATATTATTCCCCATGGTTATTTGTTTAATTGCTTGAGCAGTGACCATCTAAGCAATTTACATCCACTGGTTCAACCCATTTTGGATGACAGATGAACGGTGTGTTAAGAATCCTACATACCTGGTAGGTTTTGAGTGATCAATCATAAATCAAGGAGTTAGGTAAACTGATGACATTCATCATCTGAGAATTTTGATAAAAAAAATTTGGTAAGGGGGAGAAATTTTTGTAGGAAGAGCATTGCCTCTCTGACCTTTGAGCTTTAACCTGCAGGTGATTGACTTGTTGTGTACATAAACAGCATGTCAGCTTGGTTATTGTTCAAACATGACCCATAGGATGCAGTTGTTTGTTTAAACTACCCAATCTGTTAATCTGAAGGAATGCAAATATGAACAGGAATGCAAGCTTTGGAGACTTCAATATTAATGGTCAAGTAGAGCTTTGTCCATGTTATCTTTTCTTCAGCTATTTTTTTTTTACCTGTATACAAGTTGTTAAAAATCGTCAACTGCAGATGAAACATGCACAATTGTAAATATTCTTAAAAAACCCTTTGTCCATGTGACTTGCAAGATATGAAGAAAAAATCCTGCTTAAATTCATTGAAAATTTGTCCACAGCAGTCAGAGGGATATGACATACTGTACATGGATGTACAGTTGTACATGCTTCAGCAATATGCACACCACACTTGGTAATAATTTTGCCTGTGGCAGGGTTTTCAATGACAGCATACTGCATTATGATGGGTTTGAGGAGGCCTGGCCAAATTAAATTCCAGCCACAGACACCCGGCGTAACAGTGCCGTTGTCATGCACACGATATTGCTAGGGTTCGTCCACCATTCTCGCGTCTTAAGACGTCCGGGCTCTGTTTCTTGTTGTGCCCAAGAGAGTAGCTCTTACCACTGTGAGTCAGCACCGCGACAGGTTTTTTAACCCCAACTGCCATATTTTGATTTGGTTGGTGCTCTCCATTCAAGTGTGGATGATGCTTGTTGATGGGTATCACATTTGTGTAATCATGAACAGTAACGTTTTGGTCCTTACTGGAAAGCTTTGAAAATATCAAGTGCTTTGGGGACATTTGGTCTACATGTATTTCACTCAGGTTACCCGTTACTATGCATGTGGGAAATTATATTAATCTCTCTGAACTTGTTTTCTTATCAAACTGATTATTAGAGAGGCCGTAAGTATAGAGAAATGTATTCATTTATGACAAAATTTAAATTTGTTAGAAATTAACAAAAAGTGGAATATGGCGACCTTTGGAGACCATCAACAGCAGCTTATTAGGAGGTTTATCTCTCAGTTGACTTCCCAGCCCAGTATGTTTGAAGGAAGCAGTTTCAAAACTGTCATGATTCACGCCTGTCAGACAGCTGAACAAATGGATGTACAGAAACTGTTCCAGCATGATAAGATAGCAGTCTCCAGCCTCTTCCTCGTACTCCCTCAAAGGGTGCTAACCACAGATAATGAGATGGGAGCGATGACAAAGTGGTGAAGAATTAACACCTCATTTGTACTGCAGCTGGGCTGAAGAGCCCACTAACGAAGTGCTGATTAAAATGTGCATTGCATAACAGGGAGACCTGACAGGGCATTGTTATCTAGTTCAAGCATACTTGCTAATCATGGAGGGCACATGCTTGCCCCTGTCACCCATGTATTTTTGCCCTCACCACGAAACGTGAGGATTTCACTTAAAAACCAAAATTGACAAAAGAATATAGTCGAATGTCCACCAGTGGTACTTCTGCCGAGGAATGCATTCAGATGTCACAAAGCGTTGTGGGACAAGTCCTTGAATTTTCAAGTTGTAAAAACCACAATGAAATATCCTATCGAATGATCCTCTATCCTGTGCTTTACTCAAACATCTTGTTGGTGTTGTGAAAAATTACCAAAGGATGTATAAGATTACAAGTTTCCAGCCAGTTTGTTTTATGCTGCAGTATTCTTTGTCAAACATGTTTTTTGTTAATCTTGTGACAGCCATTCAGTTAGGATGGGAGTTGGATTGAAAATAGAGAATAAAATGCGGGGCTAAACAGGCAGGACAGTATGGAACTCTGATCCTAACAAGCTTGACAACATTTTCTAGCGAGTGACACATTCATTAATCATTGGCCCAGTTCACTCCTGCCGCCAGAAAAGGGAAACAGTTTAATTACTTCCCCAACATTAATCCCCACACTTAATCCCCTCAGCCCTCCCACTGGCTGTCCTTGGAAACCCCCATTGTCCTATGATGTAACCCCACCACCATGCACATGTACTCCCCCCCATCTTGTCACGCACCCCCCCCTGTAAAAAAAAGAGCTGCTTATGATTTTGAATACTCGATTGCCCTGAAGGTGGACACACAATGCTGCTGCTAAGTAGTTAAAGAATTCCATTCTCCTTTCTCTTTGATCTCCTCTTCCCTCCCCAAAAAGGCGGGACAGGTGAAGAAGACCATGTGAATCATCAGGCTTTAATAATCCACACCTTCATTCATGGCTTACTGGGCTAAGAGGAAGGACCCTTGTTTTGTTACAAAGCGCACCTCGGGATTTGGTTGAAGTGAGGATGTTTTCTGGGAGCTGGGAGTTGACGCAATCAGTTAAGGTTAAAGGAGGATGTGGTTTTTTTCTTTTGAGTACAGATTTGATTTTGGTGAAAATGTTTTTGTTTCTGCTGAGGTCGTTCACCTTGTAACCATTTTACAAAATCATCTCATGTTATTTGCTTTTAAAAGGGGTCAGACAGAAATGACAAGGAGGCTGTCACATGCACATGTGCAAGTTTAAAAACGATAATGTCATTTTTTTCAGAAAAAAAGAGAAGAAAGTGGTTATTTGAAGTTGTCATGGTCAGTAAAATTGTAAGGTGATGTAATGGCATGGTGTTTAAAGGCCAAGTAAGTTCACTGGTGAATAATGGTAACCCTGTATTAGTTTTGAAGGTTGAATTAATGTGGAATTTAAACAAGGTGTCTTTAAATAGGGGCACAGCAGATGATTTCTCTAATTGGCAGTGAAGCCCATAATCGCAGTTTGAAAACTTAAAAATGGTACTCGCGAAAGCCTCGGAGGATTACATGTATATTTACTAGTTCAGGCTATGACTGCATGGTATTATGCTAATTTATTTATCTGGTTCTCTGAACCTCGGGTGATGGTTTGTGGATGCTTTCAGTTCCCTTACAACTCCCCCCCCCATATCTCCTCCCCTACCACCCTGGGGCAATGTATGCTACAAATAGGCTTGGCTGTTCAGTCCAGCTGGCAAGCAAACATGCCTGACATACAGTATTCCCCTATTGCCAAAATGGGCTCTCCCAAATCTCTCATAATTGACCTCCTCTGTCTATAAGAATTTTAAACCAAATCAAGCTGTTGACCCACATAGGTCTCAGCATACATGTACACTGTATTTGCTTTTTAAGAAGGAAGAAAAATACACGTACATGTATATAGGGTGCTGTAGGTTTAATAGATTTGGGGCGGAGGGAAGGCCGAACCCAAATTTTTAGAGACAGGTAGCTGTCCTCTTCTAAAACGTAATAAATCTGCCTAGCTGGCTAAGGCCATGGAAAGCTGAGAAGCTTTTTTCATGGGACCCAAAGGCATTGAGTTGTAATATTAGCAGGGACTGGGAAAGGACCGGATTTTTAATTAGACTTTATCCGCATGTGAAAGGTGGGAGTGAAATAGCAGAGAGGAGAATACTCGGCTGCATCTCTTCATTTTTTCCCCCTTTCTTGGGGGGGGGGGTTAAGTCAAATATTAATGATTTCAGGATCATCTGTGAATTTGCTTATTTTCTCGAAGCAATTTGACAGCTTATTTCAGTGCATGCTGCAAATGTTTATGTACATGTATAATACAGTGAAACTTCACCATCTAATGCAAATAGAATAGAGTATTACTCAAGTATCTTGTTATGAGTTTTACTGGGTGCAGCTACTTGCATATGCACTGTATACGCCACTGTGTCTTCATGAAAAGTCAGCACTGCAGAATGAACAATATCAACATAATTGGTCAGTGTTTTCTCAAGACTGTAATAAGTCGACTTGAGAAAGAATTATTTATAGTGCCCACCAACAATTTTGCTGAACATGACTGCGGTTCGTTGTGTTTATCACTGTAGAGATGAATCACTCGAATCTCTCGGCTCTCTCTTCCACTTGACCGAGCCCCTATCCAGTTCTATCCAGTTCTGCACAGCCTCTCTCATTCTCAGATTCATTTTTTCTCTGTGGAGGGTCACTTGAACTTTTCCTTGGCTGGTTGCTGGACCTCCATTGTACCTGTTTACTTGATTCATTAACCATGCAGGGCAGGCATTAGCAGGACCAATGACCATTTCCTAGTAATGGGCGAGACTGAAAAGGGGAGGATTTTAAAAGGGCTTGTTTGCCACAAGGGAGCAAGGGTCCAACATCATAGCTGTTAATTAAACCAGTCACCGATGCCGGAAAATTCTAAAGCACTTGCTCTGTGAAACTTCCCAATAGAAACAGCATCAGCAAGAGAAGATAAAATTAAATGGAAAATTAGGAATTAATGACTTTGTTGAAGTAATTACTGTCTGGTCCCAAGCACTAAGCTTCCATTTTATCATGGTTTTATACGTTAATACATTTTTTTCAGACAATATCCTCGGCGCTAAAAACTTAATAGATAACTGGTACTGTAGATTACAGTAACAATTATGAATGCCGTACGCACAGTTTGAGGAGTGTTCCTTGTACAAGTGACGAATGATTGCATTTGACACAGATGCGAATCAACAAATTCAGTGTCGCCTACGACTACAGTACGTGCATTTTTATTTTTCTTGAAATGCTCACAGCCATAGTTAGTGGCCTGGTCGTGTTGTAGGAGACAGCCGGTAGAAAGGAATTGATGGAATTGATGTTTATTTGGCATATGCAGGCTGTTTTTGCAAGGGATCTCCCTTAGCCAACTCTCCCTGTAGGCATGGTGCATGTAAATGTACATGGACTACTAGTTGACTTCCCCTGGTATTGCAGGCCTGTATCTAAACACATGATAACCTATCGATGTTAATCAGCCAGAACCACTTCCCTAATTGCATCTTCCAGGAAGTTGCAGGTGTTTTTTTTTCATTCCTTACAACCAGAAAAATATTTATTTTCATGCCAACATGCAGGAATGCTGAGCCTCTTTTGTTGCTGTCAAAAGCGAGAGTGTCTGTTTTAGAGAAGCTGGAAAAAGACAGATCTCTTGGGCTGTGGGGCTTATTGTGGCTAGGTTGATGCATACCTTTGGTATTAATTGTGGCTAAGCCATTTGATGCGGCTTGCCAGTTGAGGGTGAAATAAGTTGTCTGGCTCACAAAACCCGGCAGTATGAGGCTGGGGGTGTTGATTGATGCCCCACCAAATGCTGCAAATCTCCTTGTTCTTGTGACCCACTTTCATCAAATCCTGGCACTGGCAGGATGATGGAGAAGGGTTGCCTGGTGGTGTGAACCAAAATGACTCTCATGTTAGGATCACTCCATCATACCGGAAATATTTCCAGTGGGCCAGTGTTGCTTAGGAACTGTTCACAGGTAGAGATGTATGATCTTTCTGTGGCCCGATTTTAGTTCATCTCTCTCACTTTAGACAACGTATTGGCACCATTGAGTGTGCCTGCATGGGAATTTTTCCTGTGCATTTGAAATTTCAGGCAAAATAGCACGGCACGCCGGTGCCCTGGCCCCTGTAGGCATAAGATGCCCGAAGAGCAATAGTATGTGTGCAGTACCATACCCAGCCATCTGTAACATAGGCCTGAAACAAGTCCAGAAAATGCACTGAGTTAGCAATTTGTGCTTGTTTTAGGGAGGGGGGTTTCAGACAAATATTACACATAAATCAAGTCCTTCCAAGTGCATTGACACAGGTTACCGGCCTGCAAAGTTTGACATGGAGAAGAGAAATTAGCCTGGCGCCAGTCATGTCGGGTCCCACCTACAGTCTGGCATGGCATCCCACTGAGTCTGGGCTCGGCCTCTCCCAATTGGATAAATAATGTTTGCAGGAGAACAGGTGAAGGCAGGCAAGGTCAGGGGTCAGAGGTCCTGGGTGGTTTGTCGGCCAGGGAGGTGCAGTCTTTATTTTGTTTTTTTCAAGAGATTGAAATCTCCCAAACCTGAGAAAGGCGTGTCCTTTTCCTTGCAAATCAACCTCATTAAAGTGGACTTGGAATTCTGCCTTTTTCGCATTCCTGAGTTTTTTTGAGGAAAAATGCACTTGCCATACTGCATATGTGCTCAAAGACGTGGGTGACAAAATGTTAAATGAGTATGAGATAGGCAGAAAAATGTAAGAGTCCATGAAAATGCACAGGACGACTAAATAAGAACATCATTAATTTGATGAATTATCTGATCTCGATGAGTGAGCATGGCACAAATAGCTGCTGTACATTTATGGTGATGTGGCTTTTTTTCAAGTTGGATATTTCCATACGTTTGGGGGAATTCTTCCATCCTTCTGTCACCGTGACCTGTTCTGCAGGTTTATTTTTGTGTAACATTTCAGTTACCAGTAACAAAGCACTCCATTTTGCAGGATTTATCCACGATTTTGGTTTTTACCGTGGCCAACACAGAGTGCCAGATTTTTGAACATACAATTTGCAAGTACGAAGGGTTGCAGTTAGAACGTGTAAAATTGAATGTCTGAAGGGCCCATCTACACCCTAGTGGCTAAAACTCTGGCTCCAGCCAACCTGCATATTTAATATGGGTGCACATGGTAGAAGGCAGGGTATCAGTACGTGTACAGGGATGTACACAAACTACACATGCATGTACTTGTATGAATATGTTTCATTGGTAAACATGTACAGTATTCATACATGTAGCGTATTGCACAGTGTACTGTACTAAAGACTGTGTTTTTTTTTGCTAAATTATAGGCTACATTGTACTTGCGAAAAGTACAAAAATTCTTCCAAGCCTTAGGTGGTCACATTTCCGATCCTTTGAAATAAAATAGGCTTACATGTACATTGTACATTCCATTCTGTTCACTTTAGTGGATTCTTGACATTTAGTACACTGCAGAGGACGAAAAAATGAAACAAAACAATTGAAATTGAAATCGAAATCTTACCCTGTGATTCATCGGGAAATGTTTGGTTTGCTTGTCTTTGCTCCTTTGCAGGGGATCACCTCAGAATATGTCAACAGAGTTTTACCTGTTGCACGGCGGACATGGAGGAGAAGCTCAGTCAGACCAGCACCAAGGACTTTAAAGATATAGTTTTCGCAAAGAGCAGCTCGAGTAGGGAGTACTTTATCCGGAGGGCGGAGCGATTTGACAGTAAGTACCTGGCCTGTTCTTGTTGCCGGTGCTGCTTGAGAGCACGCCGTCTTTCTCGGAAAGAAGGATTTGGAAAGGATATTGGACATTAGGTCTGCGTGGTACCGGTATGTGAAATTGAAGTGTGTTCCCCCCTCAAAAAATCTGGTGATGATTAATAGGGGAAGTTTAGGTTACCGCCTTAGGCACAGAGTCTGTCTTTGCCAGGTTCTAAATGCAGGTCTATCTGCAATGGAACACTTTGGCTAGGATATGTATGAGCGTCTTCGTGTTTTGTCGTTTCTGTGTACATGTAAGTCGACCATAGTGGACAGTTTTACCATGAAAATTGCTATCGGGACCAATATTGCCACAACACAGCAGAGTTGCAAATTATTCCTGGATGCATGAACTAATTGCTGGCATTCAGGTGCACGTGGCATAGCGCAGTGAATGAGGGAATCCGCTTAAATAATGCAGCGGCTTTTGGCCGGGATGGCCCCCACCGTGTTTTGTGGATTCGCGGCACATCGGTGCTGCGATTACTTCGTGCAAATTACTCGCGATGCCAGCTCCCCAGAGGGATCCCCCCAGTCCCTGAGATGAGGTGAATTATGGGATATTTCATCAGAATTAAAGCAAGCTACTTCTCCAGTGCTAGAGGACATTCGGAATAAATTCACAAGACTCCTGAAATGTTTGATTTTTCTTTTTGAGGGAAATTTTAAGCACTTTGAATTATAAAACAAGGCAGTGTCTAAGTTACCTTACATTTTCGTCAATTTATACTAAAATGTTTACCAAGATAAGGCGATCGTGGCAATCATTCCACTTGAAACACAATGCACAATTTACAATTTTACGTCTAACACTTTGGTTTGTTACACTCTTTAACCCACCACCCAGTATCGCTCGCAGGTATTGTGAAAAATAACCTCCGCTTTGGCCAATGGGGTCACGAGGTCACTGGATACATTCTTCCCCAGCTTGCTCCCTACACCTCCATAAAACCAGGCTGAGAGAAGCTTGTCTGGTTTCGGGCAATTGGGAATGACAGGAACCAGCCTGTCTTGACAAGGGTCCCCTCCACCACACAGAGGAATGACATAATTCACCCATGCAGGAATGCCTTTATATTTAGACCAAGGTTTGTCTACGACTGTTACATGTGAAATACTTACTGAAGTAAAATCTTGTGCAGGAATATGTCTACATCAAAGAATATCTTTATATTACAGAACCAGATTTCAAAATAACAAATTGGTCTTATGTTTTCAACAATGTAGAAAAAATAGTCAAAATTGCTATAAAAATTTCTGTTGTTTGGTGCGATTTGACGGCTTTGGAGGATGTTTGGTGCGATTTGACGGCTTTGGAGGAAAGTACCAAATATATACATGTATATTCAAATCAATCTTGATATAATTAAGGTTATTACGATGAATGTGGTACTGCCTGCTGAGCCTTCTTTTCTGTTTGATATGCATGTATCTGCGCATGAAATAGTTGTATGCATGCAGAGTTGTTGTCCAAGTCACATGTAGAGTCTGCAGATTGTCAAAGACAACTGGCATGGTGGGCGCAGGTCTATGACCTGAAATATTTACATGTTGATGGCAGTTCAGTGACAAGGCAGTTCCTGTCCGGCCACCAGCCATCATTTTTAAATGGGATTAAGTTGATCATGCATTGTATGCGTCCAGAGTGATACCCGGGTCCAGGCGGGCATACAGTAGGTATACATGTATATATGAATCATTGCTACCGGTATGGAGCTCGACATCTGAACGAGCAAATTTTCTATGGTGTGATTTCTACTGTAAACTAAACGCTTTGAAAAAGTAAAACACCCCCACAAAAAAATTTACCTGAAATACAATTTGCTGGGCCACAGTGGGGGAATAAAAATCAGTTGCCTGATGCATCTGGTGTTGTTCCTTCCCACAACGTGAAACTTGTAAAGCTTACAGATTCTGGCCAAGAGTTGATCTCGAGACATATCTGCACTAGGACGCACCTGCATATGCTGCGCGAGTGCCGAGCTGTGTATTGATCCGTCGTATTCAGTAGATCACAATTTGATACACGATAGTGAAAGATAACGCCTCCCCGCGCAGGCGACTTGTCACCTGACCGCCTCAGCAAAGAGAGGGAGAAATTGATAACGCGAGGTGTGGAACTAAAGCCTACACCGACTGTAACAGGGGCAGTACTTCCATCCCATTAGAAGCTTTTTGCAAACTGCCGCGATCCCAGCGAGTGTTGTATGTCTGCAGGCACGGGTTCTCTTACACATCAGGGCAGTCGGTTATTAATGTTCACCGCGTCCCGCACACCGCTGAATACTAATGCAACCTATATGATAAGGCTTGCTACACTGCAGTGCACTGTCACAACTGTCTCATATAGGCCCCCTATGGGTAATTTCAGAAATAAGGGGTCCATTTTTTTTTTCATGTCCCTGTTGCATCTGACATATGATTTTGTAAGTTCAGAACACATTTTCTAATTTCTAGGAGTGATGAATTAATGCAAATTACCTGCCAAACAAATAGTAATAGTTTGAAATCAATCCCGGTGATATTTCCATGTCAAATCACAAAGGTCAGATGTAACAGGGACACAAAAAGTCACACTTTTGGACCTCTATTTCTAGAATTACTCATCATAAAACCTCTGCACAGTACACTGTACAGTCTGGAGTATTACTTTGTTTGGACGGCCAATTGTGTCACAAATCTTGTGCAATCTGACCAATCACAAGGCTTGTTCCAGCAGCCTACAACAGATTGTATGGGTGTTTCCATGTTACGGGTTGCTTTTCTCAAACGTTGCCGCATATGGAACAGAAACACTAATGAAAAATTTCAAACAATTTTGCAAACATTTGATTGGCTGCGCAAAAAACCCTACAGACTTTAACTAGAAGTCCTAAAACATGTTTGTACCAATGTGATTAGAATTCGTTGTTGCCAACGTGAGATAATTACATGTAAAGTTGAACTTGGACAAATAAAGTAGGGAAAGGTCACTTTGCCCATAATGTGGTAATACTCTGGACTGCTGTTTACCACCCACAGAAACTTGAACTCCTGCCAGGGGAAAAGCAAACTGTACCAACTGTTAGGTTGAACCCTGTCCAAATTTTCACATGTGCACTTAACTATTTCACAGGGAGCAATGCTCGGCTAGGAAATAGGGTTATCTTTACTACTGACGTTTGATCTCGGTCTTTGGCATGGCCTGAGACACGTTTCGGTACAGTCCCCCACAAAATGGAGGGGAACACCTGAGCCGACTGCTGCTCCAGGGGTTCTGAGGGGGAAACCTTGCACTGCATCTCAACTCTCCTCATCAACTTCTTTCCCGTCCCGTTATTTTTCCTTTGGAAACTGCAGGTGACCTCTAGGGGGCACAGTAGCTGGTGTCATAAACCCCAAATCTGTTTCACAGTGGAATGTCTCCCCCTGAGGCACAAAGCACAGAGCACAAAAATGTCTGCAGGTAGCAGGTGGGCCATGGAATATGATTACTTTCACCTGAGGGAATAGAGCCACGTGGTAGACTTGACAGAGTCCAACCACTATTTATAAACAGTACCTTTTGAGTATAATCTTGCAGTCATTTCCAGATCAAGCGGATCCAACCTAAATCCTGAACAATTCTCAAACTGATTTCACTGAAAAATTGGATACATCAATCTCCTCCAAAATCCTTCATTATTTCTTGCATACATGTATGCCCACTGCCGCCTCCTTCAAAATTGTCCCGCAACTCCTCCCATTAAGTTGAGTCAGTGCAAATGGTATCCTGGAACAGTGGGGCTGATTTCATAGGCCTGAATTTATGCACGACCGAGCATTAACAATGCATGCTTCAACCCATGACCTAAATTAGACTCTGTGAATCCTACAAGTATAAAATCAGCAACGCATGTTTACCACACAACCTCAATCCTCCAAAATCCTTCAAAAACCATCCAGACGATTCGGGAGAATTTTGGACGGTTAGGGTTAACGGGGAAGATGGCCTGATACCTGAATCAGGCATTTATAGATGTGGTTTTTAGTTTATACAGAAGACTGCTTTGTGTACCGTCTATAGCCATGCTATACACTTTTGCCCAGAATGGACTTGCCTCAATGCTATCCGCTTCTTTCATTATTTCAAAGTCAGAAATTCTGTAACTTTAGCATCAACTGTGACATTGGAAATTCCAAGTATTGTACATGTACATGCAGTATATGTACATGTAGTACTCATCCAAAACAGACACTTTCAAGGGATGCGCATATACAGCAGGTGCGTGGGCACACGGTGCCATTCATCATCGTGTCTCTGTTGTCAGCGGTTCACACTCTATAAATTCCAGTGCCCCAATGAGAAGGTGATGTTCATTTCGAATGCAAGGGCCACAGTGTCTGCCATACCCCCAAGAGGATACAGCAGGGTCGGGTCGTAACTGAAGTCAAACTGCTTGAGAGAGGAGCCAGCGCTGTTCAAATGTTCAACTTCCTATCCTCGAGTGGCTCTGCATAGATTTTAATCAGACTGACAGTTTCCTACAAGCTGCGTCCCCTCATGTCTGCATGCACCTATGTACCGGATTCTCACTTCTTACATGTACATGTATGTAATAACCCTTGCGCTGTGTGATCGGTGTCTTGATATCCGTTCCGTAATAGACTGCTCATTCGCAGCCATTCATTTTGACGGAGAGAGGCACATAGATTGCTCCAGCTGGGACACGAATACACCTCTGTAATCTAATGAAATGTCGCACCTCAGCGCCGCAGACAAAAAAACAAAAAAAACAACCTGGCCTGGGACTCAGGAGAACGGACGTAATCCCTGTCTGCACCAGTGCTGAGCAGCGTCGTTCCCCTCCTTTTTTTGTGTGGCCTACTTAAGGTGGAGAAGTGACGGCAGTCCTCCAAATCCTCATTGCATTATTTTTTTTTTGGCATCGTCCCTGCCAATTGCCGTGCTCAACTGTCATGATTAAATTGTTGCCGCAAGGG